ACTTTGTTTCTCCACTTTCCAGTGCTATTGAATACATTTTAGTTGTTGGGACGTTTGAAAAATACCTCAAAATCTGCCCTTTTTTTCTCATCACAAAAAAGTGGGGGGATGATTCAATAGCCCATCCCCCCTGATCAAAAAGTGGGGGAGGGATATATACCCCCCATCCCCCCGGGTTTAACGCCCCTGGTACATTGGGCCTACACATGTGTGTGATTGACCACAAACCACAAGCACATTTTTTACGTCGGTCGTACCGGACACTAACTCTGCAATAATATTGCCCCGCATGAATTTCTTAACTGTTCCATTTATTTTTCAGTTTAGTTCAGGTTTTTCATAAGTTGGCTTAACCCAACCGACCCGACCCCAAAAAATGCAAATGCTAAACTAAAACCGACCTGACCCAACTGAAATGATGGAAAAACTGACCCGACCGACCCATAACCGACTTTGGGTCAGGTCGGGTCGAGTTGGTTTTTCGGGTCGGTTTTGGGTTTCGGGTTGGCTTTGCACAACATTAATACCATAGTACATGCATATTCACAGTTATTCAGAATTTCTGTTTCTCCTTACGAGTGAGGCTGCGAGGCAGGTGCATGTTATATCGATTGTTTCCACGGAGGGTGTCGTTCTAAAACGTCGTCTCCACTCAGATGTCTACACACGATGCGATGACGCGGTTATTTTGATTATCATTTGTGACAGGACGCTCAGTGTCAGCGCGATGTGTTGGTAATTGGTTTTACACTGTCTACATTATTAAAGGAGTTATGATACACTGCAAAGGAGTTATGATACACTGCAAAAAGTTTTTTTTGTATTTCCTTACGTTTATTTTTAATTTCATTGAATCATTTCATGGGCTACATAACTGTACGGTACTTTAAAGGCATAATGACAAATATATTGAAAGCATTGAATACATGCAGATGTTTAATTGAAATACGGTACAACATAATTTGCTTTCGTTGTAACTTTCAGAAATGTTTGCTGCAGTTTATTCGGCTTTCCATGACAAGTTATGGCCGTTCAAGTTCTCATTTATCGACATGTCAAACAAGTAAAATACTGAGAAAAGGCCTTTAATGTTTGGAGTTTGGTCTTCGTGAAGATGAACTATGCCAATTAGTTTTTCCTTAAAAAAAGGGGGGAAAAAACGATTTTGTTCCCTGATATTCATATTATTTCTTTAAAATACGTGTAATACATACCGGTACATGAATCAATTATTACAAATATCAAAAAATTGAAAAAATTGGCGAAACTTCACTCAATTTTTTTCTTCTCAACTTTTCCTCCTCTGTGGCCTGTGCCCAGTTCTGTCTCATTTTGCAAGAATGACTCACATTTCATGATATGTTTTCAGCAGTTTCATTTTTTGCATATTTGCAAATGGTGTCTATGATACCTTTAATCACTTCATGCCAAAGAAACCGGCAAGCCAACATCGGCCTGATCCGTAGAGACTTGATAAATCTTGTACCTTATCCGATCAAGGTTGATCAATTCCACACCAGATTGGTGTCCTAGAAATCTGGCATCTCTTACACTTCTTGTTTTTTATTAAGTTTATAACTGAAGTGAAGCACATTTTTGACCTGGATAAAATGAGATAACTAGAACGTCATAATTGCTTACAGACACATACCCCCAGACATCTGCGATATTTATCTTTGAAACATGGTGTGTGGGACTTTGAGTGCAGGGTGGAGGCATACGCATTTAGGCACACCATTTAGTCATGCTTATCCTAAATTAGAATATGTGTCATTCTATAAATGTAGAGTCCAAAGTTTGACATATTTCATGTTCCATTTACCTTGATACTTAGTAATTTGTCACTCAAGTAACATTATAGGAATGACTTCAAATGATATTTTTCATTTGTTGGGTAGTTTGCTATTCATAATCACTCTTCAAGGGCGACTGCATTAAAGGTAGAGCCGATCATTTGCAGCTATCCAAAAAGAAACTGAACAAATTATTGTTGAAAAGCTTGCTTGGTTTGCAGATAGCAATGCAGGCATGCTACTTTTCCTCAGATCAGCTGATCTCCTCTTTTTGTACTTCCCATGTGTGCCATTAAAAATTAAAAAAAAACTGCACAAAGTCTTGGACAGATTTGAATTTCCTCTTTTTTTGTGACTTCCCAGTTGCATGCCTGGTAATGGCACTAAACTCCCTGTGAAATTGTTCTTTCTGGCATGCTGTCATTTTGAAAAAACAACAACAGAAGACGGTGTTATTTCCAAAGATGTGTCAAGTGACACATTTTTGGAAATATCTGTGAATCCAGCCCCATACATTCTAATTTGTAGTTGGTTTGCAATTGGGCAAATCCATGAATGGGTGACAACCGACTGAATGAGAATCATGTCCCAAATGCTGATTTCAGAATTGTGTCACGAGAGGGCGAAATTCAAACTATGACCTGGCAACTTTACAATTGAAACAAGAACCAGAATATTGTCTAATGAGGCATGCAACTTTTCCTCGGATAAGCTGATTTCCTCGTTTTTCACTTCTCACTTATGGCATTCAAAACTGAAAAACACTGTATAAAGTCTTGTAAAGATTGGAGTTTCCTCGTTTTTTGTTTCTTCCAAGTTGCATGCCTGTGTCTTTAATGTTTGTTTTTTTTTTTTTTTTGTTTTTTTAAATAGGCCTGTACAGCATTCACAGAGCTAACATTCTTCAGCTTAGTTATTAAGCATCTGGTTTAAGATAGATTTTGAGAACAATTACAAAAACTTACCTATAAAAACATAAGTCCAATGTTTATTTTCGGAAAGTAACATTAGAGCAATGCTTACAGAATGTCAAACATACATGTACAAACAAGGATACAAGTAAATAGCGTTTGTAATCAAATACACCCCTCTCTGTTTCCTGCGTCGGCGCGCATCACTTTACAAATCACTCACATGTAAGTGTATGTGTCCATGCCCATGCATTCATCCATTTCGTGCAAATGAATCAAATGTCTCGCGTCTCGGGACCGGGACTCGGACTCCACCCCAGTGACTTGACTGCGATACTATTGTCTTGTTTACAGTTTGGATACATGTATGAGTCGCATTACATTCTCTCCCTCAGGCAAGTAGACAAAGTGCGAGAGGTGTAACACCAGCTTCAGATGAAATACTCTGATACAAACAAGAGAAAGATATCAAGGTTTTATGATATTTTATCAGGATTCCCTTTTGAAATCTTGAATATTAGTGGAAATCCTGATGTTTTCCCGTGAAAGTGTTTTTACCTAAAAACGTTTAGACCAAACGAAAAAGGTGTTTATTATTATGGGATATTGTGCCTTTGAGAGACATTCCCATTGGTTTGTGCACACATTTTTGTCCAACTTTAATGACACTTACCCCATTTTTCCCAAATCTTACCCCCACGAATTTTGATATATTTTTTTGTTTTGGGCCATGAGCAAGGGATCTAGCCTATTTGCAACAGAAAAAAATTTGCCTCTAAATAGGAGTTATTACATTAGGGGAAAAATTGAAATGTTTCCCTACTGTCCTTTATCTCCCAAAGGTATAACTTAAAAATGTCTCCTTAAGGGTACATAAACAGGAATTTAGGGTCGCCTTTATGCAACTTAATACAAACATATATCATGACCCTACATTGATCTGGGGCCTGTGGCGATCCTCAAATCCTCCGTCGATTATTTCATAAGTTTTCGTTTTTCACCAATGTCACTCCAGAGATTTTTAAGTGGCCTGAATGATCATCAATTCCGCCTTTCAAAAATCTGTTGACGTCCAAGGTTTCCCATACACTGCTACCCTGGAAGTATTGATTTCAATCCTGACTTCAATTTGATATTTGGTGTCATAACACTCATCGCCTTGGCCATGGGGGCGTTTGGGGAAAAACATGTTTACAGCCGAGACTAGCTCAGTAGCCTTTAATTCTTTGAGTTTTGACTGGAAAGCGTACCTTGTGATTTTTTTTGTCCGGACGCAGTTCACTGAGAGCAAAACTTTTTCACTAAAAAAAAAGTACTGAACTTTGAAGAAGATAATGATAATGAGTATTATGATGATAAATATATTATGGTGATGATGCGTTATTGAAATACATGAATAAATGAATAAATTATGCACATACAATCATGTCTCATAAATTTTTTATTGAGAACGTCACCCATAGTGAAAAAAAAAAAAAAAAATTACTTCAATGCTTGCACGTGAGCCAGAACTTTATGCTTAATAACAGCTTGACACTCTTGATGCAGTTTACATTACTATGCCCGTTACCTGCCATGGGAAAGCATTATACATCTCTCTTGCAAAACAGCCTTTGCAGGTGTTGCTTAGTGTTACAATTTGTCATTGTCTTTTAAAGGTATTAAATTGTACCGTACAACATTTGCTTTTGCTGTAATTTTCAGAAATGGATGGATAAGGTAGTAGTTTATAGAAAATATTGTTACACTGACCTGTTTAGAATTTTGTGTTCATAGATGCTTGAAAAACCACGAAAAAAATGCTGTCCTGTAGTCTGGTGCCTGACCCTACTTCAGACAAAACAGAGCAATTACTAGATGTCAGGGAACCAGACTAACTGGCTTGCACCTGTTCACAGATGTGTAACCGATTGGAAACAAAATGCGGACTAACAGAATTTGGTAAATTGGGGGCAGCATTTGAAAAAAATGTCCGTTTTCCAACGATGGTCAGCCGACCATTGTTGGAAATTGATACAAAAATTCTGATTTTCTTGAAAATGACAGCAAACCAGGTGGCATGATTTCACAGGATGCTTGAGACTATTATTGACTTGTAGTCAAGTAAGGTATTTCATAATAATATGATTTTTTATTTTTTTATTTTAGCAAATGTTAATATTACCTTTAATCAACAGAAATTGTGACTTCACCAGCACTGCATGCTCTGTGCTTTCAGGAAAACACTGCTTATGATGATAGCTTTTTTTAAAATAATGATTGACATACTTTTTTAAATTTTATGTTTGTCTTGCAGTTCACGTTCTAGCCAAGACAATACAGGGGACATCAGAGAGTCTGGGCGGAGGTTTTGACTATGACCAGTCCTGGATCTGTGCAATGTAAGTTATTCCATCAAAAAAGCATGAAGTTACTCGGCTTAAAACATACTTGTAGTTCCTGTTTCCCCTCAAATGCTGTGCTTGTTAAAAGTAGAGTCCATCATTTGCAGCTATCCAAAAAGTAACTGACAAAATTATTGTTCAAAAAGCTGACTTGATTTAAAGATAGTAATGGCAATAACCCCCCTGTGAAATTATTTTGAGGAAAACATTAAAAGAAGGCCATTTCCAAAGATGTGTCAAGTGACGCATTTTTGGAAATTTCCATTAGTAGTTGGTTTCTTAATGTGGCGAATCCGTGAATGGATGGGCGCAAGCATTGACACGACGCACCCAGGTGAGGTTGCTATTATTCATCCGTTCAGTGCATGACATCGCGTAGCTGCAATCGGCTGAATGAGAATGTGTCACGGATGCTGATTTCGGGCGCAATTAAAAATATGACTCGGCATCGTTTGAATTGAAATCGAGATGCTTTACTGAGCTAAGCACCATGAGCGCACCATTCTCCAAATAAGGAGATGGTTACGACTACCCGTGAGAGTCACATACCATAACATAACTAGAGGGTGTTTAAAATTGTTGAACAAAATCGTAGGAAATTTGTAATGTTTGACTTGTTTTGACTTTTCGACTGAAAGGTACCGGTATTATACTAGGAATAAATATGTGCTTGGCCAGAGCTTATGTTCTTCACCTTCGTCTCGGACCATTATCAGCGTCCAGTCCCTGAGCAGGTCTTAAGCTTACTTGTTTAAAATGCGGCCAAGCATAATTGTTCCCTTATTTAAATCACGAGTAATCTTGATTAATACTGGTGTTATGATCTGAAATGCACTTGTGCATACCAATGAAAATGTATATTTCTGTGGTTGCTACTCAATCCTATCAGCCTTTGCCATTCACCCTGCTTTGTTTATCAGAATCCAACAATATTAAGGCGAGATGAACACTTATTCCCTGCAGAATCCACAACTGATCTTATTCAAGCAAAAAGCTGCCAAAAAAAAAAAAAAAAAAAAAAAATTCAATCAATGCATTCTTTTGTTGCGTTCAGCACAGCTGGAGTTGGATTAGCAAAAATTAAGTAATTGACATGAAAGAATCTAAGGCCAACATTTAAATTCCAAGTAAAGAAAAAAGAAAAAGTAAATAAGAAGCAAAAACATATCACATTTAGCACGAATTCATCACCGACCAAAATCCCCCCCAAAAGAATCCAGTACCGTGCCGTCTGACTGACCAGAAAGAGAAAAACAGATTCAAGCATGTGATCTCCCTCGGGGGAAAGTGGCATTATACAGCCAGCGATAAAAAAGATGACGAGACCTCAAGATTAGTTACTAGCCTGCGGGCGTTCAGGCCGCTTCATTCTTTCCCTCGTATTCCTTTCTCTTTCTGCCTCCTTCTTTTTCTTCTTCTCTTCTTTGCTTTCGTGGAGCGTTCCAGCACATTACGTTCCATTGATCGTGCTCTTGTTACTCGCTCGTGGACGGGGAAAGTATTCATCATGAAAAAAAAAATGGATACAACATGACAACAGTGGGGAATATCTGTTGGCTATCTCCCTAGTTGAAAAAGCTTTTTGGTTGATAAGAATATCTTAAGTCTTTATCAAATGCTCTGTTGTTTCCCAAAGAATTCACTTTATTCTAAAGTGAAAAATTCACTCCATCTTTCTTAAAGTAAAGAAGGGACAATTAAAGATCAAAAATATGAAATTTATTCAATTGAAAAAGCTTGAGAAAGCTTTTGGGTTGATAAGAATTTCTGAAACGTTTTTGAGGATGCTCTCTCATTTCCATATTGAGTAAAAATTAATTCAATTGAAAAGCTTTTTTTTGGTCGATAAGGGCAAAAAAAATTCTACTTCCGATTACATGGCATTCAAAAATAGGGTAGGTACATAGGGAATTTTTTTGGTGGCAAATTGTTTTGTACTGTACAACTATATGGAGGCATCTGCGTGTAGTCAAGGGTAAAAGGGAGTAATTGACGGTTTTGGGCATTTTTCCCCTAATTTTTCCCATAAACAAATTAGAGTAGGGGCTGTCAGAACAGGGTTGGTAGGGAAACTGGAAGCAGAACTATTTTTTTGGCCTAAGTCTCTTAAGAATGCTCCTTTTTTCAGAGAGTGAAAATGTAATCTACCGGGGTATTCAACTTAAGTGAAAAATCATTTTGTCCATCTGGAACTACATGTAGCAACAATATGATTACAAGAATGTAATTCATTCAATTGAAAAAGCGTGAGAAAGATTGTTGGTTGATAAGAATTTCTGAAGCATTTTTGAAGATCCTTGTTTATATTCAGAGCCTGAAAATGCACTATATTCCAGTACAAATTTACTAGGTCTGTTTGAAACTAGGAAGAGGATGATTATAAGAATGAAAATCATTCAAATGGGAAAGCTCGAGAGAGTTTTTTGGATTGATGAGAATTTCTGAAGTATTTTAAGGACGCTTTATTTTCTTTGATGATTCGTTGTTGTGTAAGCACATGGCAGTAAGCCAATGAGCAACCCTTTCTCGAGGGTGCATAGTTCCCCAATACTGACGTTCCCCGAAATCCTTACCATATACATTGTAACTCTAACCCCAACCCAAACCCTAACCCTAACCCTAATCCTAAGTATTTCGGAGAACATCGGTATTGGGGAACATAGGTATTGGGGAACATTGGGTAGACCTTCTTTCTCACCAATGTTTTCAATGAGCAAATTTTGGGTTCACAATTTGAACAGAAAACCTCTTAAACTGAACAGTGTCTTCCTGAAATGACATCACAGCAACGACACTCTCCAAGAAAACCAATCATATTCTTGTAGTCTTGTTCCCCGACCCCACTTAAGATGAAACAGAGCAAGTTATAGACTTTGGGAAGATCAGAGAATCAGTCTAGCAGGCTTGTAGTCTTGACAGGTGTGTAATCAATCGCAAAAAAAAAATGCAGACAAACTGAATATGAAAAATTAGGAGCACTTTTTGAGAAAAAAAACAACAGTTTTCTCCAACACTGGTCGGCTGACCAGCATTGGAAAAATACAGTTTTTCTTGAAAATGCCAGCACACCAGGAGCCACAACTTTACAGGATGCTTTAGACTGTCATTCCCTAACAATCCAGTAAGGTATTTCGTGATAACTTGATCATTTCATTTTGTGATGTTTGCAAATGTTGTATTTTCCCTTTGAATCACGACGCTGAAGTAATGAATGCATAAGGCCCAACCAAAAAAAAATATTCGGTCTCTGGTCAGACCAAAGTTCCGGAATTGACGCGGGGACGCGGCTTTTTTTTTTTTTTTTTTTTTTTTTTTTCTCTTTCTTCAAGCTTGGATTGTACAGACAAGGTGGGGTACTATTTTGTTTTTTTGGTGTCCTCATGTACATTGGTGTCCTCCATAATTTGCCTTAGTGCTCTCGATCATTTGCCTTGGTGCAATTTCCCATTCCTTGGTGCTCTTTGGTAAAAAAAAATTGAGGAGGTGCAGCAATAGAGGGCGCTGTTGGAGCTACCGCAGAACATTTTTGAAAAAAAAAAAAGATTGACGTGCATGATTAAAATCGACGCGCGCGCTGACCAGAGACCGACTTCTTTTTTTTTTGGCCTAACACTCACATTCGTCCTTGTGCACACCTGGACTTGTTGACAGCCAATGAGTGGTTGCGTGTCATGTTCTGTTTACATTAATTGAATGTCGGGGAACATCCACAAAGAAAATGCCCAACAAATCAAATTAATGAACTAAATTAAATTATACCTATCGATGACGAGGGAAAATGAATCAGTTTATTCAAGCAAAAAGCTAGGACGTACAAACATCTGCAGTTTGTCACGAAGTCTCATTATGCAATAAGAAAAGGATGCGAAAACAAAGATTCAAGGATGCGAAAGAAATGGTGTGGCATGGTATAAGCAGTCGTTTAGTTCTTGATTTATACATACGGAAATTGTATTTTTGACGAGTAATATAACAGCTGGGGGGGGGGGGGGGGAAGAAGGAATAAACAGCTTCTGCTTACTCAGAAAAAGGGGGAAAACAGTGGCACACCCAGGATTTGGCGGGGGGGGGGGGGCTCAATTTTTTCTCTCAAAAACTGTTGCCCAAAATTTTTGGCCGCAATTTTAGGCCACATACAGATCACCAAGGTAAAATCGTGGGACTAAAAGAAAAAAATTACCCCCCCCCCTTGGGTGCGCTACTGGGGGGAAACCCAATCATTCAAAATGTCACCTGTTATAAAAAGAAAGATTGAATATCTGTATTGTAAAACACATCAGCTTTTCACATTGGTGATGATATAGATTTACGAGGCTCTTTGGAAAAATGAGACAGAACTGGGCACAAACGGTAGTAAAGAAAAAAGGCAAAAAAACCTGAATTGGGTGACTTTTTTTTTGATTTTACATTTGTTGATATTTGTAACCTTTGATATGTCTACTGCACTTATTGTAAAGAAATATTTTAACAATCATGGTATAAAAACATTTTTTTTAAGGAAAAACAATTCGCAGAGCATTTTCAAGACTAAAGAAACTCTAAATTTAAAGGCCTTTTCTCATTATTTTACTTTTTTATATGTCTATTGACACAAACTTTAAACAGCCATAACTTGTCAACAGAATGTCCAATCGGAGTGCAACAAACAGTAGGCCCTATTTCACTCTTTTTCCTAAAACCTGCAAACCCTCATTTCGACCTCTGCCCAGTTCTGTGTCATTTCGCCAGGATGCCTCACATTTATGCATTCAGTTTCAATACTGAGTAAACATAGCGTACCAATATGCACAGCTTGGAATGGTGTAGAAGAACTAGTCTCTGTTGATCAGGAAGCGTTCTGTTTAGCCAAGAGCAATACAAAGCTCCCTGGATCACCAAGGGGGCTAGTTTTGCCGTACCAATATAGTAGTCAATATTTGTTTCATAACTCATTTTGTTTGAGACATTATCGTTGTGATTCAAACCGGTGGTTGTTAAAGGTAGAGAACATTGTTGATCATTTGCAGCTATCCAAAATGTAACTGATGATATAATTGTTGAAAGCATACTTGGTTTAAAGATAGTAATGGCACTAAACTCCCTGTGAAATTGTTCCTTCTGGCATGCTGTCATTTTGATGAAAACAATAAAAGAAGGTCTTCCGAAGATGCGTCAAATGACGCATTTTTGGAAATTTTTGTTAGTAGTTGGTTTGTTATTCGGCAAATCTGTTAATAGGTGCGCGCAAGCATTGATATGATGCACATGTGCATGCGGTTGCGATTATTCATCTGTTTGTGACATCGTGTAGCGCAGCATAGCAATCGGCTGAATGAGAACGTGTCCGGGATGCTGATTTCAGTCGCAATTCAAAACATGACTCGGCAACTTTTGAATTGAAATCGAGATCCTAAAATATTGTTTTCTTTGACTATACAGCATTCACTGAGCAGAAAATTTGTTAAGTTAGTTGTTAAGCACCCATCTTTATATTTATACTTTTGTTGAGCACTTCAAACGAAACAAAATGCACAAACGCCGAGTGATCTACCCTACCTTTAATACACACCTGACACATTCTTCAATGATTATACACACACAGACAATGACAAATTACTAGGTTGTGGGTGAATTTCCTGGTTGTAGTTAGGCAAACTGTGACTCCCCCCCCCCAAAAAAAACCCCCTGCAGCCCGCTTGCTTTTGCCCTAGGTAACTTCAGCTTGCGCAATCTTGTAAGTCAACATCACCAGGCCCGATTGGTCGATCTTAAGTTAAGGTGCAGCTTCTGTTTTCCTAAGATAAAAATTGATCCGTGTAATAAAACGCTGGATCACCGGACGCATCACTGCAGAGACGTGATTTTATATTTGTTTTTGGTAATGAAACCATTCCGGGAAATTTCAATCTTGTTGTACTATGCGGCTCGTAAGCCTGAGGAAACCTATACAAGATGAGTCAAAAAGAAAGTGACTAAATAAGAAGAAATATTTTTAAAATGATACGCTTGCTCCTTTAATAAAAAAAATAGGGATATCATTCACGTTATTGACTAGTAACTGTGAAAATTTCATGTAATTTGCATACTCTATTCCCAAGTTATGTATGTCTATAAAAAGATCACAAACCTCGGCTGACCTCGGCAGTGACTGAAACGGTTCACACAATCATTTATATTTCCGTACTTTGCTTTCGCGTACAAATAAACGCAGTCTCACGCGCACGGCAGACTCCACGTCGTTTAAACCAGACTTTAAATGCATTTCCAAATTCTTGGTTTCATCATCGGCTTTGGGTGATTTCTTAAGCCCTTGGTGGAACTCCGGCTATGTTTATGTCCTGCTCTCCTTTCCTAAATTTATGTCCTGTGAATAATACAAGAAATGTTCTGCTACTGTAACCAGGGATTTTCCCGAACTGTAAGTAGAGTCATGAAATTGAAGGCTTATTATCCACAAACATCGGCCCAAGTTGGATTCCAACCTGGGTCAAAGAGTTGAAAGCTCAAGAACACAAGTGCAAGCCTCCAGATTTGTCGTCAATTATAGATGATTATTATCAAGTTTTCACTATTATTCAAAATTCTCAATTACAACCTTTTAAGTTGATGTGAATCATATCCATATGAAATATTCACGACCCACGTACAACGGGCATAAACGTGTACCTCTGACATTTTTCGAAACCAAATCTCGGTATAACATCTTCTCTGGATATGAAGAGTTCAGATCCAAAAAGGGGATATTTTACACTGTTTTTGCAGCTGATAGCTGCACCATCTACATACATGTACAAGCATGGGTAGAGGTGCATACACTTTGTCAGATAGAGTAAATGACAATAAAACAAGAATAATAACAATAATAAGTATTAATTTCATGAGGTATTTTGCACCTGTTCCGTCTTTAAGCGAGGGCAGGCTTTGATGTAATGACAGATGATTGTGTGCATGGGGAATTTGCTCTCGAACTTCTGATTAATTTGTAAAAAAAAAAAAGTAATATTTTTTTACTTTTTTTTTATTATTTTTTTTATTAAAGGAGCAATGCGTAAAAAAAAAAAAACCCGCAATATTTTACGAATTTTTACGTTAATTTCGCTAATTTTTTTACTCAAGCGCCCTGTAAACAAAGACGTTGACAAAATGGGGGAACCGCCAACATAGGGCTGGATAGCTCAGTTGGTAGAGCACCGCAATTCAGTCCGGAGGTCGCAGGTGCTAACCCCGCTCCAGTCAATTTCTTTGTTCGACTTTAAAATAAACCGACAAAGAAGTTAGAAACTCGCCATCAATCACAGGAAACCTTGAATACTTTTTACTAAAGATCAAGAAAAGTTGGAAATAAGAATAATTTGGGGAAAACCTTTAAAAGTACTTCATGATTGAGCATTTATTCATGTAGTAGGAGAAGTATAAAGTGTACTTTGATGGTAATTTTTAAATTTTGTTTTATCAATTATTTTTTTTTTTTTTAAATCAAAAGGCTTGTGAGCAAGTTACCATATTTTGACAGATATTTCAAATTCACGTCACGATACTCTATATTACATTGTACAAGCAGCATTTTGTAACTCATCAAATTTTGCATGTAAAGTTCCATGTATGGGCCTATTACTAATACACGGGGGTGGGGTACAAAAACAAAATCAATGCTCCTTGTCCATTTTATGCAGTCTTCTGTAATGTACATTTATTTCCAACAAAAAGATATACAACTCTTGAAGTCCTTTAAAATAACAAAAATGTCCATTTCACGCCCTTGGACGTGCACCCTACCTGAACCGGCCTAATGAATTAACCAGCCCCCTCGGAACTTGTCGTCTTAACACGGAGCCATATGTGATTAATCTAATCATCTCCGCTAAAAACGCTTTGATTATCCGAATTAAAATTAAAAGCCCGGACAAGAACGAAAAAAAACACAAAATGTGTGCAGAAACCGAGGGGGGCTAATAACGGGAGACGATGTGTGATATTTTAAGGTACGGTCGGCTAAGTCCGTCCGAGTGAGTGATTTGATTTTCCTCCGTTAAGGCACGGTGGGGTGAGCACAACGGGCGGGTAGCAGCTTCTCGCAAACAGAGGCAAGCTCCCCGGGGACCCTGAACGGTGGCCGGCGAGGTTACAGATTTTAATACAACGACCGAGCGTGTGAATAAGTGCTCATTAAAATTGCGAGTGGCCTGGTTTCTCAGCAAAGGTTGATATAAGAAGGACTGATTATAGTTTTGGCGTATTTGGTGTCCAAGATACTGAAGCAATATGTTTTATTTTGTGTGTGTGGAGATTACGATCATTTTCAACATAACCCATCTCTTCCTTCTCAGTTACCTACTTACAACTTGTAATATCAAATTGAGATCAGCAATCGTTGCAGTAAATTGCCATGGGACAAAAAGATACCGAGTTTTCTCAAATCAAGCCCTTTTCACACTAGACAGGTCTCGGGGTTGATGCAGGGTTGACGCAGGGTTGAAAACATGCTTCGTTTCACACTTGCGTCAACCCTGAGATTGATTTCCCCCCGGGTTGAACTCAACCCTGCTCCAGACCAGGGTTGAGATTTTTTTCAACCCGGGTTGAAAATTCTTGCCAGGGTTCAAAACAGTAGTAACTTAGCATGATAAGCTTGATTTGCATGAAATAAGTGTGAAACGATACGAGGTTGAACGCTGGGTTGAAAAATAAAAATCAACCCGGGGCGGCACTGGGTTCACCCAGGGTTGAACCCAGTGCCGCCCCGGGTTAATTTTTTTATATTTTTCAACCCAGCGTTCAACCCCGTATCGTTTCACGTTTGTTTCGTGCAAACCGAGCTTGTTTTGCTCGGCTACTACTGTTTTGAACCCTGGCGAGAGTTTCAACCCGGTCTGGAGCAGAGTTGAGTTCAACCAGGGGCGAAATCAATCTCGGGGTTGGCGCAGGGTTGAATATTTTCAATTGAGGAGCGCCTCGTGTTTTCATCCCTGCGTCAACCCTGAGACTTGTCTAGTGTGAAAAGGCCTTCAAACCCAGGTACCGGTAGCGGAGGTGAACAGGACTTCTTTCCTTAGCGGATTCTTCGCCAGCGTCTTTCTTCTTTACTTCCAAGACTCAAACGTTAACTATTATTACCGTCATTTTCCTTCGTTCTTCAGGTGTTCAGTGCAGTCCTTACAGCGTCGTCACGTGGCCATCGCCAGGCTGAAGCACGCAGCCAATCTGGGCCGCACCAGCCAGGAGACGCGGTTCTTCTGCCTGGTCATGGCACCGATGCGAGAGAAGGGGACCAAGAACGCGCTGGAGACGGCGCGGACGTTCGCCACCATCCTGGCCGATATCGACTGCAGGCAGTTGCTACAGAACTCTAAGACAGGTGTGGTATACAGACGAATCCTGGCTATAGATTCTAGGCATAGGTACCCCTTTCAATAGTTATAAAGAAAAAGTATGATGAGACTCCTGCAGCCGATTTCACGACACAGTGTGTAACTTACCGGTACGCCCTGCGTAGGACTTATGCAACAAATTTGTTGCCGAGCTGCGCAATAAACTGACAATCGATTTCACGAAAGTAAGCGTAGCTGCGCAATGTTTCAAATACCCTAAACATCTCGGACGAGGATAGTAACAGCATTTACGATGGCTGTTTGTGTATATGATTTTGTTCGTACATGAAACAGTCATTGAATAAAATTTTTTTTTGTCCGACTTTCTTTGGAATTGTGCAGCAACTCTAAAAATTCTGGCAGGAGTAAAACAGCAATGCTTCTATGTGTCTTGTATCAACCTTGTGCAATGACAGGCTCAACAACGATCACGATGTGCTATTATAAAATAGTTCATTTTCAGTTGCTACACTACAACCTACATGTAGGCCACCTAAAATGATTGCGCAAGTTAAGCCATAATTTGTTGCGCAAGTCGCGGACTTATGGAACTTTTGTGAAATCGTCGTAACTGAAATGTTGCGCATGCAGCGTGAAATGTTGCACAACTTACATGTATGCAATATAATGTGGCGCAAGACCGCAAGTGGACCTAAACCATTGCGTAAAGTTTCGTGAAATCGGCTGCAGCTTAATTTAGTTTGCGACAAACGGGGAGTCTATATACTGACTAAAAATGATAGATCATACTCGTACAACTTTAAGGATTCTCTTTATTTTGGATTTTGCTTTTTGCTTCGGGAAAACAACCACTTCTTATCCTGTTTTTGTCCATATCGGAATTTATTTCATTTTTTTTTTCTTCAGAGGATGAGTTTAAGAGGATTCTCAACTGTTATGCAAAGGAGTTGGCAATCCAGCAGAGTCATTCCTCAAGACATCGCCTCTCCAGACCGAGTGTTGTCGTCCCGTTTGATGGCTTCGACGTGGTGAGCAAGTTTTTTCCTTTTCAAAAATGCTCTTATATTGACCCAATGTTACAGCCATTCATAAATACCTAAGACAGTTTACCCATTCCTATTGGTCGAGAGCCCGTCATGTGGATGGTTTGAAATCGCTGATAAAACACCCCCACCTTTTGCTCGGGCCATTATCAGCATCAAGGCCCCTAGCGGGTCTTAAACGTACTTGTTCAAAACTGGCCAAGCAGACATTTATTTCCTTTATAATGAAAGAACCTTTTATCACATTGTATGCATACATGTATTTGCGAGATAAAACTAGTTTTCAAAACAACTGCTGTTATCGTGGAAACGCCAGCGGCGCATTTCTGTGTACAACTTCCTCTTCAGATGTCGCGACCGATAGTGCCAGTACCATTAGCACATGTCCGACGGACCAAACTCAAAACAAAATCTGGTATGCAATTACAGGATGTATAAATAACCCCTTCCATTCGGCGCAATCGATCCACTTCAGCTGACCGTCAAGTTCAGGTTATTCCGTTGCTTTGCCTCCGAGGCAAAATTAAACACGTACTTTCCGTATCCCCAAACAAAACCATATTTGGGTACAGATTTTAATTGAGTTGGACCATAAGCTGAAAATCCCCCACAAAAAAATTAAAAATTACAAATTAAAAAAAAAAAGAAAAAAAGATTGATTTTTGTTTCTTGTTTGTTTACATTGCACCTTGACCAACTGTTGGCTATTTTTTTGGTCGTGCCCGCTCTTTTGATTTATATTTTCCTCCCCGGTATTTTCGGAAATAGCAGAGAACAAAGGAAAGGGAATTTATAAAGACGCAAGGTGTTTTTGGTCAATCGAAAGTGGCTAGATTGAGGGAACTATACAAGCTGACAAAATTGATTGCTGGATTGGCTGAATAAAAAGCCCCATCCAATGTCCCTGGCCATTGATTTGCCTGACAGTGGACATCACCTCAAGGCTGTGTTTCGTATTGTTGTATTTTAGTAGCCGAGGATTTTTTAATTAAATTTTTTTTTTTTTTTTAAATGTGGTGATTGCTGAGATTGAAGCTACATTGAAAGGACCTTTAAAAAGTCCTTTTCCTTTTCGGGGCGATTCTTCATAAATTGAAACTAAATTAATTTTTTTGGGGAAAAAAGTTGTTGATGTGATGTAATTAAAATGATTATTGTTCACTAAAGTGTTGTTAGTACATGTAAGTAAAGATGCACATTAGTTGGTCTTTCCTTGCATAAATTAGTATAATTTTCATTACAAAATGTCAACCATGTGACCGATCAAAATGTCACACACGTGACCACAGAACTATTCCCATTACAACTAAAGCAGAGGGTGTGCATTGTTTATGCAAGCTGTAAATCACAAAAGACTAGTCTTACTCCCAAATAAGTATGGGTGTGCGTGCGTGTCCTTAGAACTTTGGAGAAAAGCGTGAATTTCCGGTATGGGCCAAATAGCATTTTTACATCTGTTACACACATGACTAAACTTTGTTAAACCATCCTAATATACAATGTATGACACAATTTGTGAAAGTAGAACTGTACTCTGAGGTAGGGAGTAAAAAGTACTAACCTGATGAATCAGTGAAAGTAATATGTCAGATGTAGTTAACAAGGGGTAAAGCTTCAAAAATCAGACGAGCCCAATTTTATGTCACACACATGACAAAGAATGGCCCTTCACTAGTTTAAATATCTGGTTACTCTATACACCAGTCGGGGCACGCTATCAATTATTCCAACATTGACATTTCACAATCTGAATAAAGCCCTATTATTTAAAACGTTTGAACGCTCTTTAATGGGATGTCCTTGACAAATATGAGTCATTCTTGCTCACCGTTTCATCATTCTATTTTAAAAAGTCGACTAGGTGTTAGCATATATTAATTAAATTTTGTAAATACATGTAAGCTATTTTTATTAAAACTATACCCACGTATCAGAAATGTTTTCAAAATTTGTTTTCTTCCTCGAAACGATAACTTTAGGCCAATGTTCGTCTTTAACGGCAACTATTTCCAGATGAAATACAAATTAACGCACGCATTAATGAGATAAGACGACCCTCAGACCGATCTTAGGTTAAGACGAGTTCAGCCGAAGTTAGGACATGTTGAACCTGTCTTAAGTTTGGTGAAATCGATCCTGGGACGAGTCGCAAGTTAAGACGAGTTACCCTCCCTAAGACGCGTTTTAGTGTTTCGTGAAATCGGCCCTTGAAAGGGCAGATTTCACAAATGACTGACTGACTGACCAATTAACTGATTAATTGATTAATTGACTTACTCAACGACTGATTTAACTTTGCTTGACGTGCAGGGGAGTGGCTTTGCGAGGGGTCTCAGGGGAGACCTGAAGCGTCGAATCCCCCACTACCTGAGCGATTTCCGCGACGGTATCGTCGGTCACAAGACCATACACAAGCTGATCTCCACGACACTCTTTCTATACTTTGCCTGCCTCCTGCCATCTATAGCATTCGGAGTTCTGAACGACAAGAACACACATGGAAAGATAGGTGAGGAACAGATTTGTTTTTTATTTATTTTTATTCTTGTTTTTGTACTTGAAAGCTACAGGGTTTTTCAAAAATGTGTAATCTATGACCTATTTGTACTTTTCTTCAGTTCATTGTATTTTGTGTTCTGTGTTATTGTAGTTTAACCCTACCAGTCCTAAATCCCCAAATTTAAATATGTTTTTTCGCACACCGAAGGAAGTTAGAGCTTAAGGTAAATTACAACATTTGCTTTTGCTGTAATTTTCAGAAATGGATGGATTTGGGGGTTAGCATTTTATAGCTAATATTGTCATACTGATCTGTTCAAAGTTTTGTGTTCATAGATGCTGGAAAAACCAAGAAAACAATTTTTTCTTGTGGTCTGGTTCCCTGACCCTACTTCAGACGAAACGGACCAATTTATAGACCTTGGGGAATTGTCGGGTCAGGGAACCAGACTAGCTGGCTTGCACCCGTTCACGGATGTGTAACCAATTGCAAATAAAATGTTGGCCAACTAAATTTGGTAAATTGGGGCAGTATTTGTTTTTCCAACAATGTTCGGCCGACCATAGTTGGAAATTGATACAAAAATTCCACTTTTCTTGAAAATGACAGCACATGTATGTATTTAATTCAAAACATTCACCAAAATGTCGAACTAAAAAATTTTTAAAAAAATCTGAAACACCTCAAGGGCAAACTCAGATTGAATGTCATTGACGGGCATAATTTCAAGTGCGATGGATCAGTCCATAAAACAGGAGACTTATAACGTCATTCCAATAATTTGATCAAGGTCGCTAATCAAGCAATTTGCAGAGTCTGCCACACGTCATGTTCTAAAAAGAGGGGGAGGGGGAACTCCAGTGATGAAGCCGCGCATACGGGACGAAGTGCGCTGCGTGCCGATGAATATATTTCCCACTGTGTCTTCAATCTTTGCGGAGATAGCGAGAGACACTCTACGCTCGTTTCCTGTACGTCAAGAGCTTCCGGTGTCACAAATACGACGCCGCTCTAGCGGAGAATCTGAAAGGATAAGTACGCCGAGCGTTGTTTTTAGTTAATGACCCGTTTGATATTTGGATAAAAAAACAGCGGGCAAGAATTATGATTATTGGAAAGTGTGAAAGATTTGTTGTGACTGGACACTGGACGGCCGGGATTCATCTGTGAATTTACAAGTTTGCCTCTGAAGAAGATCAAAATGTCAGGCTGCTTAAATTGTTTGATTTGTATTCCAGGTCAATCCAATCAGAAAGCAATTTGCAGCGTTTTTATTTATTTTCATTAAAAAACAAATCTAGTCTATTCTGACGACTCTCAATGTATTAAGTAAGATTTGAGGCTTTGCATGGTGGAGATACTAAATAATGAAAGGTTGCGGAAACACCATGTGCGAATAATTTCTCAACTAAGAGAATGGTTCTGAAAAGAACCAGAGGTATAAACTCACAATGTATTGTTCATTTTGCCCCTTACTTTTGTTTTAAATGGTTTGAATATGTTTTAAATCTAATTTAAGAGATTGATTAGCAATGCATCTTTTTTTGTCATTTTCTGTAAAAGTTGAGAGAAAAAGATACTATGTACAATCATGTACAAGCCAATATTCTCAAGTTATGTTTTCGATCAAAAGGTGTTTCTGTTTCTGAAATTTTTGCCGTTTTCCCCAGATTGTGATAAGCTCCAGAATTGTAAATTTATTCATGGTGTTTTGAAGGATTTTCGATTGATTCATGCATTTATCACAATTTATTTGATGTGGTTGCCAGGCGCATTTGCCAAACACTTCAAACAGTACAAGAGTGCTGTGGAAAAAGAAGTGTGAATAATAGCATATTCATTTAAACATAGAATCTCTAAAAGCTGTGAGATCTTAAAAGACAGTCAATATTATCAGAAAATTGTGGGGAGTTGTTTTATTGAAAAAAAAACAACACAATTTCAATTTTCGAAGGGATGTTGTTATTTTGCTCATAATGTACAGGTTGTTTTATTCATTTATTCCCTTTTTTTTGGGGGGGGGGAGACGCAGTGTTCTGAATTCACTTTTTAAATATGTGAGGCATTCTCAGACATTCTGAGAATTGTAGACTAAGAAAAAGTTCCAATTTTGTTGACTAAGTTCCCAATGGGCTCCATGCGCTAATGAAAGAGGGCGCCCTTTTACCTAGCAACGACGTCCCATGGGCGGATATTTAGCTGGTTGACGCGCACCGTTCCTTGTGTGTGACGCACGTACACCAGGGGATTTGTACTATGTACAATGTACATGCAGTGGTACGGCCGCGCGTCGCGGCAAAATTGCAGTCAGGCAAGATGGCGCCGGTCGGTCACCCCAACTGTACTTTGTTTGCCGGTGAGGGGGTACTTGTGAACGGAGCGGATTGATCAGACTTCTAATGGACTTGTAATGTTAGTGCGTACATGTACAATGTAGATGTACTCTCTTGCTCTAAAAAAGCACAAAGCATTCAGTCCTTTTCAGTTTCACGCCCCCACGAACACACAGGTGCATCCCTGAAGCAGGGATAATAAAATAGGGACATTGACGAACAGGAAGAATCGCTTTAACTAATGCACACAACCTAAATTTGGCTGAAAAGTTCAAGGGAATTCCAAAAAAAGTAGAGCAAAAAAAGAAAAAAAAAATGATGACAAAACATTGTTGACAGCCGTCGGAGATACTGAATGAGTTGACATTTAGGTTTGTATTTCGCTCACGATCGGTGTTTCCGCAGCTTTAAAATGTCATGGGTGACACCATCCTTTTCCCGCATTCTTTAGCACGTTTACTGAGTTTATATTCTCATCTTTTAGGGCTGTGCATAGGAACCGGGTACCCGAGTACCCGACTGTGGATGTCAGGGACCGGTTCCAGATTATGGGATTGGGTACCTGTAACCAACTTTAGAAATTACTTAGTAACTTCTCAGACAATGAAAAAAAGAAGGTTTTGAAGGCCATTTCTGGGAAATTTTCAAAACGAAAACATATTTTGGCTATTAATGGGAATATACAACATTTGCTTTTGCTGCAATTTTCAGAAATAAATGGATTTGGAGGATTAGTATGTTATAAAATATTGTTAAACTGACTTGTTTCATGTTTTGGGCTTGTAGATGCTGGAAAAACCAAGAAAACCTATCATGTTCTTGTAGTCTGATTCCCTGACCCCACTTAAGATGAAACGAAGCAATTTTGGGGAATTGTAAGGTCAGAGAATCAGTCTAGCAGGCTTGTACCCCTTCACAGGTGTGTGATCAATTGCAAAGAAAAGTCAGAATAACTAAATATGAAAAATTAAGAACAGTTTTTGAAAAAAAGCCAGTTTTCTCCAACGCTGGTCGGCCGACCATCGTTGGAAAAATACAGTTTTTCTTGAAAATGTCAGCCCACCAGGAGCCACGATTTTAAAGGATGCTTTAGACTGTCAGTCCCTAACAATTCAGTAAGGTATTTCGTGGTAATTTGATCATTTCGTTTTTTGATGTTTGCAAATGTTGTATTTTCCCTTTAAGCAAATACTTTCTTAGAAATTAGTATCAGCTGTTCATATACATGTTAATGTCATTACGATGATCATCACCTTCATCCGTTGAACCTTCAACGCTACATGTGTACATCAACACATTCTGCCACATTTTGATAAACCCTCGAAAGAATCTGCATTGGAATTTTCGTTTAATGACTTTTTATTTTGTAAAAGTGGGTTTGCATTCCATGCATGGGTCACTGGCTATTCATAAGATGGAATTTGCGTCGTCGGGGCGTTGTAAACGATTTGCTTTCATGTCAGTCAAATGGAACGCTTTGTAAACTGATTTAAAGGCTGAGTTGATCCTTGATTTGTGTTTTAAAAATTTTTTTATCAGTATTTCTTTTAAAATAGTCTTGCAGAGTAATGACAAATGTAATATGTTTCAGGGTTCCTAGCCACGCTGGAAATCAGGGAAAAACTTGAAATTGCATTTCCATTTTTCCAGTCGGGAAATTTTTTGGAAAAACACAAAAAAAAACTCAGGGAAAACTCAGGTCTTGTGAATTGTGCCATGCATCAAAGTTGTGTCCATTGAACGACTTGCTGTGGTGGCTTTTTAGCTTTAGTTTTAGGCAGTGTATTTACCGGTATGCCTTGCTGCAACCAGCAACCTTGTTAAAGTGACAATATTTCTCGTGGAATTGTGGAATTTTTAAGGAAAATGTCAGGGAAAACTTAGGATAACCTTGCTAAAGTGACAATATTTCTCGTGGAATTTTAGATTTTTTAAGGGAAATGTCAGGGAAAACTGAGGATAAGCTTGTTAAAGTGACAATATTTCTCGTGGAATTGTGGAATTTTTAAGGAAAATGTCAGGGAAAACTTAGGATAACCTTGCTAAAGTGACAATATTTCTCGTGGAATTTTAGATTTTTTAAGGGAAATGTCAGGGAAAACTGAGGATAAGCTTGTTAAAGTGACAATATTTCTCGTGGAATTTTGGAATTTGTGAGGGAAATGTCAGGGAAAACTTAAGGAATATAAAAGTGCTGAGAACCCTGTTTTTGAATCCAAAAACCCAAAAGTTAAAGGGGCACTAGGGCCTGAAATCCCCAACAATTTCATGTTTTGGGTTGTTAACTCATCCTATTTCAAACATCTGGTTGAAAGGAAACCAAGCTAATGTCTTACTGTTCCCGAGAAAAGATGAAAAAACCCTGCTTGTTTACATCGGACGTGACGGAGTATGAATACTTTTTTGTGTCGTTCTCAGTGTACGATACACGTTGCGTGTCTCAGGAACAGCAATGACCAATCACCAATGCAAAAAAAGTGGTTTCTTCAACGTCCGCAAAAGGCGAACCCTCTATGAATGAAATCACAACTAGCATCCAAACAGCTCTTTTTAGAATCCTGCTCTCTTCTGGCTGCCCAAAAGCAATTTTCACAGCTGATTTATACATAAACGCAACTTAAGAATACAACAAACCGAAAAATGAAGTTTAAAAACAGCTGTTACACTGTTTTTATTCTTTAAAGTTTCATAACCGTGCACAAATTGTCACTTTTTTTTCCAAATATGTCGCGTTTTGGAAATAAACTCTTTCAATTATAGAAAGTTTGGGGATACACACCTGGTGGACATTTGAAAGAGCTGCATCAAAGCCTGTAAAGACTGTCAAACTCTGTTTGGGCCAATTTCTTCACCTTTTCGGTCGTGAATGTCTTTCACCAAGTGGCCCAACTTGGAATTCATGCCCTTTCATTTAATTAACTATATCTCTGGGCTGGGGTGGGTAGAGTATAATTTGATACACCTTCAGGCTCTATGGATGAGGTTTTTCAAAAAGAGAGTGCTAGTATTTTTAATATTTATGGATTGACTGCTACATGTTTTTTGAGACACCCTGTACATCAACAACAATATTTGCTTTGGGAGTTTGTTGCCCAACATTCCAGCACCCAATAAACCAAAACCAGAATCAATACACGTCTCGGGTCGTGCCGAGCTCCTCAACAGTAGAGACCTGATTCAATTACCCATCCAAAAATAAAATTGGCCGCCTCTACTGCTCCTAATCAAATATTCTCCAAGACATTGTACGAGATGCCCCACCAACCCGCAGAAATTAAGCGAGAAATTATTCCCTGCAAATCGACTTGAGAACATTTGCAAGGAGAGAGAGAGACGAAGAAAAAAAGAAAAAGAACGAGAGACAAAAATTATGTGGCATCGTTATTGATCCTTGTGACGCAATAGTGCGAGCAACTTGCCCATTGCCTAGCAGCTTGTAGACTTTTTTCGTCGCCGGAGGGCAGCGCATGCATTTGAAGCGGTAATCTTGTAAGTGAAGGGTCTGTTTAACCTCGCCGAATGACGTCACGGCGTGCTGGGTACAGGGACCCCTTCAGTCGATCCCTCTCGCTGGCAGAGAATTAAAGCACCCGATTGATCCGCTCAGCCCATGTCTTTTCTGAGAGACGACGGGTCGGATCATTATGCGTGATGTCACGGTACTTACTGATGATGTCATCGGTGCACTTGGATCGAAGGAAAAGTTAATAAACCATTTGGAGGAGGCAAAATGATTGCGAAATTGTTGAGAGTAAATGAGATGCTCTCAGAATCATGTCAAGTTGTTAAAATTGCTTTTTCTTTGCTCTTGAAAAACAGGCTTTTTTTAAACTTTCATAACATATTTTCCACCTTTATGCCAAAAACAACCAACTAGTTTTTGGTCTAATTTTGGACTCTTCTACCCTTGGGAGAAGCTTTTATTCTTTGGTGTTTTGTCTCCTCTGATATGCATTGAGGGTTTTTACCTGAATTATTTTAAGGCTCCAAATAATTTCATCACTGAACGTTGGATGACTCTGTTTTTTTATTCGATATCTCATTCAAAACTGACTGATGCTCAAACTTTTTAGTTGATTTCTTTCTGGTAATGAAACTAAGGATTCCTCAAAAGCGCCCTAGGCACTGTAGCTCGCAGGCCTGAAGAAACCCGTAGAGAGAAGACAGTGAGAAGAAATTACAGTTTTAGAGGTGGGAGGAAAAGCCTAGAAGAATATTCTCGGGAAAACCCACAGAATCAGGCAGGGACTGAAAACCCAATCCACAAGTGGCCAGGGCAGGAATCGAACCCGTGCCACAGCGGTGGAAGGCGAAGACAGTAACCACTGCGTCAATCTGACTCCCTGAAATGTCGATTCATGAAACTTAAGATACAGTCCTTTTTTTTCCAGGTACGTGTACACTATATTCGAGTCTCAAGTTTAGCGTGACATTTTTAACACACCCAAGATTTCTTACTCATTTTGCATAAAATACCCGATGAAAAAATTGATAAATCGATGGTACGACATATTTCTCCCCATCGATTGAATGCTTCAGATTTATCCAATGAAAAAAAACATGCATTGTACATGAGAATCCCCCCCCCCCTCCCCCGATCTGATTGTGAGATTGGTCTGGCAATATAACACTAGATCCGCATTCTAGCGTCGTCACGCGGCGGTTATTGGACACTGAATCAATATATGCCCAAACAACCAGAGCGTCGCAAAGCGAGGGGGGGGGGGGGGGGAGGTGAGAGGATGTGGAGGGGGGGGGGGGGGGTCTTGTGTATCCGGATGAGCCGAATGTGCGATATGGATGCTGGAAAATGTTAACTGGACTCGAGTTTAGTCAAGGAAACACGAGACGGCGCTGGGCATAATCGGAAGGATGCTAGACGGGCCACGTTCCTGGCTCATATCATCAGGGGAAAGAGGGGGGAGCAAAGGAGGGTGGTTGGGGAACAGTTCGGGGTTTGCAGAGGGCTCCTCGCGTTTGCTTGAGTTGAAATGTTTGTGTAGTTTTTGTTTACCTTTGTGCATATTATTTTTGCATTTCTAATAACATTTAGACACACAATTAGTTATTTGTACACGAGGCTTTCCTTAACTTTAAAGTCTTTAGGTTTTTGGCTTGGCTGTGTTTTTTCTGTTTATGTATTAAAGGGAATATACATCATTTGCTTTTGCTGTAATTTTCAGAAATGGATGAAATTGGGGGGTTGGAAATATATAACAAATATAGTTACACTGACTTTTTTGAGGTTTTGGGTTCGAAAATGCTATAAAAACCAAGAAAAACAATCATTTTCTTGTAGTCTGGTTCCCTGACTCCATTTAAGAAGAAACAGAGCAGTTTACATATATTGGGGAATTGTAAGGTCAGGGAACCAGTCTAGCTGGCTTGTACCCGTTCATAGGTGTGTAATCGATTGCAAACAAGTGCGATGGTCAACTGGGGCCAGTATTTGAAAAAAAAGCCAGTTTCGTTCCAACGCTGATCGGCCGATCAGCGTTGGAAATTGATACAAAAATACCACTTTTCTTGAAAATGACAGTATACCAGGTGCCATGATTTTACAGGATGCTTTACACTGTCATTCACTAACAGTCCAGCAAGGTATTTCAAAATGATTTGGTAGTTTTATTTTTTGATGTTTGCAAATGTTGTATTTTCCCTTTAATGTAAATAATACATGCTCGCGCACTCTAATACTGAATATGAAAATGAGCACATTAATGTTATTGCAAAACCTGATAGGTGCCATCTGGAAAACAGCCAGAACATGATGATAAATTTCTAGTATGCGAAATGGCAAGTTTAAACTAGGTTTTGTTTTGTAATTTATAAGTGTAACTGTGTACATGTAGTCATTCAAAGACATGTTATAAAACTCACATGTAATGGTCCCAAGATTGTGTTACTGGCACAATCTTTCTCTCGTTGTTTTTCTTTGAGAAAAATTCTATTAGGATGGTGTTACTTCTGTTAATTAGCATTAATGCACCAGCTTTTTATTTCTAATATTTTTAAACATGATGTGCAATGCGCAGTGCATGAGTGACAAGAAACAGACAGTCCATCATTTGTAATTTGTGCATTTTGTTCGTTTGAAGCAACAAAAGAGTTCAAAATCTAATGAAGGATACTGAACAACTAACCTGATGAAGTTTCAGCTAAGCTTCAGCTGTACATTCCGAGAAAAACATCATTCTAAGATCTCAATTTCAAATCAAAAGTTACTGAATCATGTTTTGAATTGTTTTGAATTGCATCTATACGCGACGTCGCGCACTGATCCGACGAATTATAACAACCGCGCGCGCGTGTGCGTCGTTCCAATACTTGTGCGCGTTGCGCTGAATAACAAAACGAACTACTAATTTAAATTTTCCTAAGGTGCTTCTTAAGAATCACCGTTCCGTTAGAAATGCCTTCTTTTGTTGATTACTTCAAAATGACAGCTTCCCAGAAAGAATAATTTCACAGGGAGTTTAGTTCCCTTACTATCTTTCAACCAAGTTTGTTTTTCAGCAATAATTACGCCAGTTACTTTTCGGGTGGCTGCAAATGATGGACTATAGCTTTAATAGTTTTAGTGAATTTCTTAAGATTAAAGGGAAGATACATGTACAACATTTGCAAACATCAAAAAACGAAATGATCAAGTTATCACGAAATACCTTACTGGATTGTTAGGGAATGACAGTCTAAAGCATCCTGTAAAATCGTGGCTGCTGGTGTGCTGACATTTTCAAGAAAAAGTGTATTTTTAGACCAGCGTTTACTTTGCAATTGATTACACACCTGTGAAGGGGTACAAGCCTGCTAGACTGATTCTTTGACCTTACAATTCCCCAAATTCAATTAATTGCTCTGTTTCATCTTAAGTGGGGTCGGGGGAACCAGACTACAAGAACATGATTGGTTTTCTTGGTTTTTCCAGCATCTACAAACCCAAAACATGAAACAAGTCAGTTTAACAATATTTGCTATAACATACTAATCCTCCAAATCCCTTGATATCTAAAAATTGCAGCAAAAGCAAATGTTGAACATTCCCTTTAATGTTATCAAGAGCTTTATCAATAAGCATAAATTGATATCTCTCTGTAATTATGTCTGTATTTTTTTCTCTCTCTTTCTTAGACGTAAGGAAGGTGATAGTCTCCCAGACCATCGGCGGGCTTTTCTTCTGTCTCTTTGGGGGCCAGCCGCTGATAGTCATGCTGACGACGGCACCACTGGCAATATACATCAAAAGTAGGTGCTATATCAGATCACTCAGTGAGCGTAATTACGGGACTCGAACCCGACACCACTGGAGTGCGATTCCAGTGCTCTACCAGATGAGCTTAGCTGGCTAGATTATGTTATATCCTCTCAAATACACGGTACGGGACTTGAACCCACCACCAATGGAATGAGATTCCAGTGCTCTACCAGCTGAGCTTAGCTGGCTAGATTATGTTATATCCTCTCAAATACACAATACGGGACTTGAACCCACCACCAATGGAATGAGATTCCAGTGCTCTACCAACTGAGCTTAGCTGGGCTGTGTATGTCATATCCTCTCAAATACACAATACGGGACTTGAACCCACCACCAATGGAATGAGATTCCAGTGCTCTACCAACTGAGCTTAGCTGGGCTGTATATGCCATATCCTCTCAAATACACAATACGGGACTCGAACCCAACACCACTGGAGTGTGATTCCAGTGTTGTACCAACTGAGCTTAGCTGGCTGGATTGTGTTATATCCTCTCAAATACACAGTACAGTACTCAAACCCAACACCACTGGAGAGGGATTCCGGTGCACTCCCCTTTGAGCTTATCTGTCTCTGTATCTTACACCCTCTCAAATACCCAGTACGGGACTCGAACCCAATACCGCTGAAGTGTGATTCCGGTGTACTACCAACTGAGCTTATCTTATATCCTCTCCAATACGCAGCTTACAGTTTGCGTTTAATTTCAATATTTGGTTTTCTAACCACACATATGTAAGCACTGTATATTTGGTTCTTTTTCCCAGGATTCCCACGGTCATAAAAAATCCTGGAATTCAAAACTATCGTGGAAAGTCATGGCGTTTTTGGTAATTTTACAAGGATTCACGGAAAGTGGAATTTTTTTTTCACTAAAAAAAAAATTCACGGAAGAGGAATAGAATCCTGCACAATTAACCCATACGTTATGATGCCTTATTTGGCTAGAGCAGTCTTCCAATTTACATTCCGGCTTACTATTCTTCCTTGCTATAATGTAGAAATATTGACTGCTTCGAGTGGTATAGTAAAACCAGCCCCTTTCCCCCGTTCCCTGAGGAGGTCCATTGAGCATTCTTTGTCTCGGCAAAATAAAATGCTCCATGGATCACCGAGGGAGGCTGGTTTTACTACACCACGAGATAAAGCAGTCAATATTATTATAACACCTCTCCCACAGATTCTACTTGATTTTAAGCGATAACTGATTAATTTAATCTAAGTACAATTAACTTGCACTTCTTTTTGAATACGAAATTAGTTGACAATTTACTTGCACTTTTCCAAAGTACCCCTTCACAACATATTTGAAACCAGCTCTGTAGTGCTAGCGCTTGGGAACAATACACGCAACTCGCACAATACACCCGCATGCATTTGCACACAATACCGATTGTTATGCGTGTAGTACTTTGGTTGCTATCCGCTCCGTTCACAAGTAAACCCTCACCGGCAAGGAAAGTACAGTTGGGGTCGACCGAACGACGCCATCTTGCCTGACTAATATTTTGCCGCGAAGCACAGCCACAGTGTGTACAAATCCCCTGGTGTACATGTACGTGCGTCACACACAAGGAACGGTGCGCATGCGTCTACCAGCGAAATGTATGTGTGCCGCCCATGGGACGTTGTTGCTAGGTGAAAGGGTGCCCTCTTTTGTGGTGCACAGAGCCCAAGGGTATACATGTAGTACATGTACTTTGGTTGCCATGGGTAATTACTATTACTTTTTGGCCGTGCGGAGCAAGCTAGCAAAAATAGCAAAGGTCATGTGGCTCACTCTTGGCCAATCAAGATACAGAATCTGTGGATGAGGTGTTACAAAGGTGTAGATACTTGCTACATGTGCAATTCACCATTGTGGTGCTTTTGTGGTGCTCTGTGGTGCTCTGTGGTCGTGTGTCAGACTGGAAAGCTGAAAGGGAGTGGCGTCCTTTACCTCAAGAGCAATGGGCTCCTAAAAGATACCAAAACAGCATTTGAATTGGTCATGGAAAGCCCTTATTTTGTCCTGGAAAAGGCCTGGATAAATTATGGAAAAATCATAAAATTTCATTTTACGATTTCTGTGGAAATCCTGCAGTTGCAGGCCATCCAACTCAGTGGTCTTAAGTTCAAGTCCCTCCGCATTCCAAATTTCAAAACAAGTGTGACTTCCCCTCCATTCAGAAGTGCAAATATTTATGCGAAAAAACATGAAAAAGAAAGAAAGAAAATGCAAGTTGATTCAAAAGCTGTGACATTTTAACGAGTGACATTTACGAAGTTAGAGTCTTGGTTTGGCGCGAGGGTGCACCATAACCCGATATGCTTAAAATGCCAAGTCTTAATGCCCTAATGCCAGCCTATTTACACGAAATGTTGGACAATTACGTTTATGGCATCTCTGTATATTTAAAAGTCACGGTGAGGATTTAAAGGTCAAACCTTGTTTGATTTAAGTGGCGTGAGAAAAACAAGCAATTTTATTTTTGGGGACTAGTTCAAAAGGTGCAATGCCATGCTAGAAATATTTTCTGGAAGGTAAATATTTCTTGAAACATGTGTGTCCAAACACCATGTGAGTTTCAACTTAACATGAAAAAAAGAGAATGTTTTAGCTATAGAGTTACATACATTGAACATTCAGTTTAACTTTCACTTGACTAAACTCAAAACAAAACGTGATATATCTTAACTCAACACACTAAAACAGGTGGAGGAAGAATAATTGAGAATTTGCTGAACAAGCTGTAAATCTGCAGCGGTGAATTTACACATGTAAGCAGCGATAAATAAGCTAGCAGCAATAAATAACGACAACTGATTTGCAGTGCTGCGTTTTATATGTGAGTCAGGACCAAAAAAAAAGCGAGAAGAGCAAAACATAAAGTCATTTCCCTTGGTGAATTAGCAGCGATAAATAACGACAACTGATGCCAGTCTTGGAAAACCCAATCCCCCCAAATCAACCACGGACCCGTAGCAAATTGATTTACTTCAAACACAGTTTCTCTGCATCATGCGGTATCGTTTGCTGCAGTGGTTCATAATACAACTTTGATTTTGATAACGAAAGACGTATTGTGCTAACTCATCACAGATTCTTCTTCAAATCGATCGGCTGTCATTCATATTTTGTATGAATTCGGGCGATTCACACTGCACTGCGCCACCAAGAGTTTGCCGTGGAAAGTTTTTCGAGTTTACTGTTGACAAAACACGGCCCATTTGAATGAGTGTCAGTGGACAACTTGAGCTAATATGCCATAGATTGGGGCATAGGGTTCTACCGCCTTACAAAAAAACACCATGTTGATAATAAGAAAAGAAAAGGACAAACAGATACTCGAATCCTACGCTTTCGAAACTACTCTGTTCTTTAGTGATTCGTTGTTGTGTCAGTACATGGCAATAAGCCAGTTAGCAAACTTTTCTCACAAATGTTTTCACTGGGCAAATTTTGAGGTTCACATTATGAACAGAAAAACCCCTAACCTGAACAGTGTCTTCCTAAAATGACATCACAGCAACAGCGCCCTCAGTTGTCCAGAAAAGCATGGAAAATTTAAAATGTTTAAAGAAGTGCACTTTCCAATCAAATTAACCAAAAAGGGAATTCAAATAGTTTTCATACATTTAAGAGAAGTAGATCGTTGCCAAAAAAAAGGGTTCTTACGAAAAGTTCATCTCATGGAGCCTTTAAGCCACAGCTACATTCTAGTGGCCAGGCTGGGTTGAAACTAGTTCAGGTGATTATTGAAGAAAGGGAAAAAAAGAAGGAAAAAACTCGGTCACATGATTGGGTTTCACGTGCGCGGAAGTTTGGTCTAATTGGAACCTCTTCACCTGTTGTGAAATATTTCACCGGGCTTGGGTCTTTCTGAGGTTTCAAAGACTGAGTTCAGTCGTGAAAGAGTAGGAATGATCGATGACTCTAGTAAATAGTTAACCAGGTCAATTTAACCAATTTACCGTGCAGTTTCTTCTCAGTAATCTACAGTATAATGTTGTTGATATTCTATGTCGCTGTGTAAACAGATTACCGTCCTTCTTAAACCAGTTTACCTGATGGTTGCTTTTGATAATATTCAGAGCATCCTAGAAGATTTTAATTTGAATTTCTTGAGGGTTTTTTTTTCCCAATTGTCTTTTTTTTTTATAAGGAAGGGTAGATCATTTGTCGTTTGTCCACTTATTTCGTTTGAAGCAACAAAAGTGCTCAAACCTAAAGACGGGTGCTTAACAACTAACCTGATGAAATTTTAGCTCTGTGCATGCTGTATAATGCGAGGATATTCTAGGATCTCGATTTCAATTCAAAGCTTGCAAGTCATATTTTGAATTGCGCCCGAAATCAGTATCCGGAACACGTTCTCATTCAGCAGATTGCAGCTACACGATTTTACTTAAAGAACCGACAAAAAATAGCAACCGAGCATGCGTGTGCGTCAAGTCAACGCTTGTGCGCACCCATTCGCGTATTCGCCCAGTTACGAACCAACTACTAACGGAAATTTTCAAAAATGCATCACTTGACGCATCTTTGGAAATGGCCTTCTTTAATTGTTTTCTTCAAAATGACAGCATATGCCAGAATGAAAAATTTCACAGGGAGTTAGTGCCATTACTATCTTTAAAGTAAACCATGTAAGCTTTTCAACAAAAAAATTGTCAGTTACTTTTTGGATAGCTGCAAATGGTCTACTCCAAATAAGGCTAGAAGCTTAAACAGACTGCACAAATTCCTAGATCCATTTTCATTTTGAAATCGTATTTTTTGTTGATTTTCTTTCAGTAATCTACAGTATCTGTGAGGATTTTAAGCTGGACTTCCTGACGATGTACGCCCTGGTCGGTCTCTGGAACACGCTCTTCCTCTGTCTGTATTCAGTCTTCGACGTGTCCCGCATCATGAAGTGGTCCACAAGGTACTCGTCGGCTTGTTTGTTTGTCGGTCTGTCTATTTATGGACAGTGGATGGCACTCCGAAGCCCACTTTACAAGAGTGTGAAGGACACCGCAGTGCATGTTTGATTTGCATGAGTATAGGTTTCAGAACCCAGACTGGAGTTAGTGCTTGTGTTCTTGGGCAAGACACTTAACCACAATTGCCCCATTATCCACCTCATAACGCCCTGGTCCAGTGGTTATGGTGTTTGACTCATGTACGAAGGCGCGTGGGTTCGAACCCTGCCAGGAACATGGTGTTTGTGCCCTTAGGCAAGACACTTTACTTCAATTGCCTCTCTCCACCCAGGAGTATGAATGGGTACCTGTGAGGGTCGAGGACCGATTGAGCGCTGATATCGGCTGCCGCGTGGTCCCATGGCCTGTTGAACGGGGTAATAATTGTAAAGCGCTTTGAGATCGTTGATACGATGGAAAGCGCTATACACAATGTATAAGCACAATTATTATTTAAGAATATCAATAGGGGCCTGTGAGGGTAGAGACCTGGGCCTAATTTCATGACTGCTTACCATTAGCGAAAAAATCCGTGCTTACTGTAGCAGAAAATTCTGTGCTTACGGTAAGCTTATTTCACAGGTCAGCGAGACATTTTGGCTTCTGCGCACCCACACATCCTGTAACTAAGGATTCTGTGCTTACAGGATTAGCACAGAACTTTTCTGCTTGCCTGCTTAGCACAAAATGGTGATGGTAAGCTAGGAATTCTGTGGTTAGCAGAGTCAGGAAATTAGGCCCAGCTTGTACAGATCTGGAGAAAACTTGTCTCGTGGCCTGATAAACGGGGTAATAATTGTGAAGTTTTTGAGACTTTGTTATAAAGTGCTGTATCAACACTGCATTATTATTACATGCATTATCCTCATGTGTACAACACTGATAACAATGTGCAAGCGACAGCTTCTCATTGTCAATGTGCGTGAGGTCGTAAGGTCTTCACGGAGGAAGGCAACCGAGCGTGTGCACGCAGCGGCAGCAACGCTCAAGGGTGCTTCACATGTCTCTCTCGGTGTCACTGTTTGAGGGGTACTTCTGAACAGAGTCTGTGCACGCGTGTACTTCAGAATCAAGCTGAAGTTGACAGTGTTACCAAAAAAAAAAATTGATTAAAGTACATGTATGCCATGCAGTCTGCAAATCTGTCGTCCAGTCAGCGACATCGTGTAGCTGTCATAAAGAGTGCCACGTGTTGTCTGATAGTTAAGCTGTGTAAAATCCTTCATGTTGTGAAAAGGGCTGCGGTTGGGATTGGAATCATTTGCCTGGCTGTCAGTCATCATGGCAAGACATCAGTTTAATGCTCAAGGGCAAATGATTCCAATCCCAAACCACATCAGCCTTTTTTTTTCTCAACATGCAGGATTTAACAAAGCTTACATAACACAGCACTGAAATTGATTAAGGCTAGGAACTTGGTCACAGTGTCCAAAAATGTTGTTGTGCTCAATTGACAATTGTGCAGTGATGCGTGACTGAAATTAAATGAAACTCATAGGGGTTGAGGCCAAGGCACAACCAAACATTTTTAAAATTGACCTCGTGGTTTTGTAGTTATTTTAAAAACAGTCAGACGGACATTTTGTTTTGACATACTACAGAGGGAATTAGGAATGTTAGGTCCTCCTGGGATTAAAGCTTCTTCTTTTTTCATTTTTTTTTTCAATTTCAAAGAATTTCCAGAAGAGGTTTTTTATGTTTACCTCAAATTTCTGCAAAAATGTACAAGTCTATCTACATCCCTATTGAGGCCTACAAACAAAAACCAAAACTTGTTTGGTCAAAACGTCTTTTATTATGTTTTATAGAGACGTATTTTTTACTTACAATTTGCTTTGTTTTCAGATCAACGGAAGAAATCTTCGCCCTCTTCATTTCCATTGCATTTTGTGTGGATGCCTTCAAGGACCTTGCATACAGTAAGTATAGGGTCTCCACCCCCCCCCCCCAAACCCTGAACCCTTAAAGGACCTTTGTTGACAGCTTTTAAAAAATACATCTCAAATATCGATACATATTTGGAGAGTATAGTTACATGGGCGTCGCTAGGATTTTCCTACAGGGGGGCAAAGCACATTCCCCCCCCCCCCCCCCCCGAAATCCCTGTACTTTTCCAGCATATTCTCTATTTATCATTTTTCGAGGGTGGGCATGGACATTTGCCCCCCCCCCCCCCCCCCCACCCAACCAATTAAAATAGCAGCAATATGACTTCGCGCCTCTTTCCTTTCCCCCCCCCCCCCTTTTTTTTGTGTGGCTTTTCCCGGGGGGGGGGGGGGGGGGGGGGCTCGTGTCGCCCATGTATAGTTAATTAGCTTTTCAGCAACGAAAAAATCTTTCCAATCTGGTAAATATTTATTGAGTAATGGCCAATTCAAAAAAAGTGAGATTTTTTATTTTGTCCACGGTCTTCATTGTCGTTTATTAGGAATGTAACTGATATGGGGGTGAGGGTAGTTTTTTGTTTTATTTGGTTCTTGTATATTTTTCAGTTTTGCAAAAAATGGTCATTTCTCCTATGGTAGTCCTGAGAAGGACTGTTTGGTTAAATTTCTTAGATGTTTACTGTGCTGCTCTGTCTCTGCCCTCTACTTGGTAGCCTCTTTCACGGATGCAAGTTTTCGGCCTGTGTTCTCATTTCGGCAGTCAAAATATCAGCCATCGTGGGCAAAATGAAAAAGCGGCACTTGTTTTCAATTGGCCGTAACCCAATAAATATTTTACGATTGGAAAGATTTTTAAATGGGGACACAAAGGTGCATTTTCAAGGATTGCATTAAAAAAATTACATTGCATGGGCCCTTTAAGTTAGCAGTGGACTCATTATCTAGCAAGTCTAAAATGAGTCGTTAATCTATCTGTCTACCGCACCTTCTTACAGACTTTAAAAGGAACTACATCTCAGAGGGCTGCGATCAGATCCAGAGAATGGACCTAGGCCTGCTGGACTACCTACCCCAGAACGACAGCAGTAACGTCACGCAGACAGTCAGCATCCAGCCCTGTCTAAGGGAGAACTCACTGGTCTATCTCATCCTGATGTTTGGTACGCTGTGGGTCGGCGTCACGCTGCACAGTTTTACAAAAAGGTTAGGGCGTTGTATGGATTCTGTAGGGTGGAGGGCATGAGGCCATAGCTCCCCCAAAGAAATATTTGAGGCGTTCGGGCAAAATGAGACAGAACTGGGCAGAGGTCGCAATTAGAGTTTGCGGGTATTAGGAAAGAAAATAAAATTCTCCTTACGATACTGTTTATTGCACTTCCATCGGACATTCTGTTGACAAGTTGTGGCTGTTTAAAGTTTGTATTTATCTACGTGTCAAAAAAGTAAAAGGCTTTTAAAGTTTTGAGTTTGTGAAAATGAAAGATGCAAATGTTTAGAAAAAAATTTTAACACCAGATTTTTGTTTTTGTTTTTTGTCCAGCCCCTTTCTGGATGCAAGCAAGCGGGAGGTATTAGCAGACTATGCACTGCCAGTCAGCGTCATCACCATGTCATTCGTGGGATCCTATCTATTCAGTGATATTCAGTGTAAGTATTAGTGCAGGCTACTACGGGACAACTTCTCTGTCATCTGTAAACTTTTATTTCTCATTTTTGGGAAACGTTACTTGCCTGTAGTTGATGCTACTCGAGCTGTACTCAGCTCGAGACGTTGTGATCAATGTTTTTTTTCCAATGCTCGAAATTCGTCTCTCTCTCTCTTTTGTTTTTACGTCATCTTTAATGAGGGTAAACTCCGATCAGTGAAAGGCACTACTTTCCATGGAGGCCCTCAAGTTAATGAGAACTATTAGACCCATTATGTAGCACCTTTATAAGGATTTACAAGGTGCTGAGGCGCATATTGCAGCCACTGCAACAAACACCGGGGCAAACCCCATCTCTTAGCGATACGTGTAACTGGGTTCTTTAACATGCATTACACAACACACAGGATCTAAGGCTTTGCGTCCCACCCGAAGGACGAAGCAATAATGGTAAAGTGCCTTGCTCAAGAGCACAAGCACCATGTTCCCACGGTCAGGATTTGAACCCATGTACCACGGCACACGAGCACCCCAACCATCCAGCCTGATCCTGGGCAGCACCAACAGCCTGATCGTGTTTAAGGCCAATGGCGTTAAGGTCATCTTTGATCAGGTCTTTACTTTCTGGAAAGATAAAAAAGAAAAAAATTCTGCATTAAGACTTCCAAGGAACTTCCCTCTTTTTTTCCCACACAGTGGAGAAGTTTCCTTATCAAGACGGCAGCTTCTTCCAGCTGGTCTCGTTGGAGCAGGTCAACGTCTACATGATCGTGGGCTCCATGGGCATGGGCTTTTGCCTGTCGCTGCTGTTCTTCATGGATCAGAACATCACCGGTGCTATGGTCAACAGTCCGGGCAACAAGTAGGTGGCCCCACTAGACTCTTTGCATGAACAGTACATGATAGGGCTTGGTGATCTGATACACCGTGCCCTCTGGAGACATGCACACAATAGGGAACAAAGGCAATTTCTATAGATGAATACGTCTCCACAAGGTTTTCACGAAATAGATATATGGATTTTACTCAAAAACTAGGAATTTCCAATTGCAAAATCGAAAACTTTACTACACGAGAACAAAGAAATGTCTCCACAAGGATCTAAATTCCAGTATGCGTGACCACTTTCGAGTGGCACACCCAGAGATAACACTTTTCTGATTCTATTTGGAATTCCGATTTTTCTGATGATCTTTGTTAAAGTTTGATTTTTTGTATTAAATTTTTAACGAATTTGATGAAAATGGCACCACGGTATCTGAATTGCCAGAACAAATTGAATCTGTTCTACCAGTCGTCAGCACACAGATTGTATGGTTGGCTCACATAAGTAAGCCTGGAGTGCGGTAGTTTACGGCTGGAAATGAGTTTAAGCATTAATCTATGGCATGACTGAAACTGACACGTTTTTTAAGCAGAAAACGGTCACCCTGTGTCAGCTAATTTTGACAGAATTTTTGAGCAGAAAACGGTCACCCTGTTTCGGCTAATTTTGGCAGATTTTTTTTTAGCAGAAAACGGTGACCCCGTTTTAATTTTGGCAGATTTTTTTTAGCAGAAAACGGTCACCCTGTGTCAGCTAATTTTGACAGAATTTTTTAGCAGAAAACGGTCACCCTGTTTTGGCTAATTTTGGCAGATTTTTTTTTAGCAGAAAACGGTCACCCTGTTTCGGCTAATTTTGGCAGATTTTTTTTAAGCCGATACAGGTTGACCGTAAGGTCATGGCCAAATTCTGCTAAAATGCAATTAAAAATACAGTCATCCTAAGCCAATATCCTTGGCAAAGGTGACCATATTAAATTCGCAAATTCTGCTAGATGCATTTCAAAATTCTGCTAGATTGACAAAAAATCTGCTTAATCACCTAGAATTTCACAAAAACATTATCAAACTTTTAATTACATGCAAATGTCACACAAAATTTCCTTATTACCAAATGTGCAGAATTCTGCCAGAAATCTGCCCAAAAATCCATTCCGTCAAATTTTCTGTCAAAGTCGTGTTTTTTTAAGGGTGCACCCCACCATCAACCTTAAAATTAGTGCGCGCGAGCTCATTAACTATGCCCCCACAGTTTCTTTTGAATGAGAGGACCTTGCGGCTTATAATTGGGATTGATTGTCAATCAAGTATTTGTGACTTGTGGCTTCCAACTCGGGCGATTTTATTTGAAAAAATCCGGATTTGTGGGTCTATCTCACATAGAGGCAGGGGGGGGGGGTTACATTTAGACCTGGGTCTCGGGATTAACAACCTTTTAGGGGTGGTTTTTGGGAGGGGAATATCAAAACAATTTGACCCGGTTACCACTAATCAAATTGAAAAGAAAAATGTTCAGGGGGTCGCAATCTTTAATTTCCAGCGAGAAAAACCTCGCCACCTTGCTCCTGAGCGTCACCAGGTGGCGCTGTCTCTGTCCAGAATTCTGCCAGAAATCTGCCCAAAAAATCCATTCTGTCAAATTTTCTGTCAAAGTCGTTTTTTAAGGGTGCGCGCCACCATCAACCTTAAAATGAGTGCGCGCGAGCTTAATCACCTAGAATTTAACAAAAACATTATCAAACTTTTTATTACATGCAAATGTCACACAAGATTTCCTTATTACCAAATGTGCAGAATTCTGCCAGAAATCTGCCCAAAAAATCCATTCTGTCAAATTTTCTGTCAAAGTCGTTTTTTTTAAGGGTGCACGCCACCATAGACCTTAAAATACATGTAAAGTGCGCACGAGCTCATTAACTGTGCCCCCACAGTTTCTTTTGAATAAGAGGACCTTGCGTCCTGTCTCTGTCCAATTTTTTGTTGTTTTTTATGACCACGTATTTGGTGCAATGGAACCTGAATAATGTTCACCCTGTTTCGGCTTTGCTTAGGATGACTGTATTTTTAATTGCATTTTAGCAGAATTTGGCCATGACCTTACGGTCACCCTGTATCGGCTTTAAAAAAATCTGCCAAAATTAAACCAGGGTGACCGTTTTCTGCTAAAATAAAATCTGCCAAAATTGAAACAGGGTGACCGTTTTCTGCCAAAAAAAAATCTGCTAAAATTAAAACAGGCTGACCGTTTTCTGCCAAAAAAAAATCTGCTAAAATTAAACCAGGGTGACCGTTTTCTGCTAAAATAAAATCTGCCAAAATTGAAACAGGGTGACCGTTTTCTGCCAAAAAAAAATCTGCTAAAATTAGTCGAAACAGGGTGACCGTTTTCTGCTAAAAAAAAATCTGCCAAAATTGAAACAGGGTGACCGTTTTCTGCTAAAAAAAAATCTGCTAAAATTAAAACAGGCTGACCGTTTTCTGCTAAAATAAAATCTGCCAAAATTGAAACAGGGTGACCGTTTTCTGCCAAAAAAAAATCTGCTAAAATTAGTCGAAACAGGGTGACCGTTTTCTGCTAAAAAAAAATCTGCTAAATTTAAAACAGGCTGACCGTTTTCTGCCAAAAAAAAATCTGCCAAAATTGAAACAGGCTGACCGTTTTCTGCCAAAAAAATCTGCTAAAATCAAAACAGGGCGACCGTTTTCTGCCAAAAAAAAATCTGCTAAAATTAGTCGAAACAGGGTGACCGTTTTCTGCTAAAAAAAAATCTGCCAAAATTGAAACAGGGTGACCGTTTTCTGCTAAAAAAAAATCTGCTAAAATTAAAACAGGCTGACCGTTTTCTGCTAAAATAAAATCTGCCAAAATTGAAACAGGGTGACCGTTTTCTGCTAAAATAAAATCTGCCAAAATTGAAACAGGGTGACCGTTTTCTGCCAAAAAAAAATCTGCTAAAATTAGTCGAAACAGGGTGACCGTTTTCTGCTAAAAAAAAATCTGCTAAATTTAAAACAGGCTGACCGTTTTCTGCTAAAAAAAAATCTGCCAAAATTGAAACAGGGTGACCGTTTTCTGCCAAAAAAAATCTGCTAAAATCAAAACAGGGTGACCGTTTTCTGCTTTAAAAAAATCTGCCAAAATTAGCCGAAACAGGGTGACCGTTTTCTGCTAAAAAAAAATCTGTCATAATAAGCCGAAACAGGGTGACCGTTATTCAGGTTCCATTATTCTGGTTCCATTGCACCAAATACGCGGTCATCAAAAAACAACACAAAATTGGACAGAGACAGCGCCACCTGGTGACGCTCAGGACGCAAGGTCCTCTTATTCAATAGAAACTGCGGGGGCACAGTTAATGAGCTCGTGCGCACTTATTTTAAGGTTTATGGTGGTGCGCACCCTTAAAAAACGACTTTGACAGAAAATTTGACAGAATGGATTTTCTGGGCAGATTTCTGGCAGAATTCTGGACAGAGACAGCGCCACCTGGTGACGCTCAGGAGCAAGGTGGCGAGGTTTTTTTCGCTGGAAATTAAAGATTGCGACCCCCTGAACATTTTTCTTTTCAATTTGATTAGTGGTAACCGGGTCAAATTGTTTTGATATTCCCCTCCCAAAAACCACCCCTAAAAGGTTGTTAATCCCGGGACCCAGGTCTAAATGTAACACCCCCCCCCCCCCTCTATGCGAGATAGACCCACAAATCCGGCTTTTTTCAAATAAAATACATACATGACGTACAGAGCTTCAAGGCTGTAGCACGTGGAGTTCGGTTGCCGTAAAATAAAAAATGTTGCGTTATTTTCAGAGGTTTGAGATTTAGTTGCACAAAATGTAATGCTTTAAAAATCACAATGGTGATATCGGAGATGGTGAAGATTGTTGTCGGATTGTTGTCAGGTGTCAACCACTAGTTGACTATACTGATCCTCGCTTGAACTTGCTCTTAGCTGAACCAATGAAACATTTGGACACTAACTTCAAGATAAAGGATCCTGTTTTTCTGTTATAAAGGCTGAAGAAAGGCACGGCTTACCATCTAGACCTGATGGTGGTCGCCGGCTTGAACTGCGTCCTGTCCATGTTTGGCCTGCCCTGGCTCCACGGTGCCCTGCCCCACTCACCGCTACACGTCAAGGCCCTGGCGGACAAAGAAGAACGGGTGGACCAGGGGCACGTCCATCACATGTGAGTATAGTGTGCTGGTGGGGAGAGATAGTTAAAATGGAAGAGAAGGTTCAAAGTTCAGAGATGAAATTTTTGGATTTTAATGGGAAATTTAACTTTTTCAATTTTATTTCTGACATTTTTGTGACGATCTTTTCCTCCGCAAAATATGATTTTTAAAATTAGATTTACAATGGAATTAGTTGAAAAATAGCATCGCGACATCTGTATTGCCAGTGCAATTTTAATTCTACCAATTGGACAACTTGGAAGAAGACCTCAGGGCACTGGGGCTGAATCTGTCAGCCGGTTGGAGACTTGCCCAGAACCGGCTGGACGGGAAACTGCGCTGTCGAGATGCTACGCTCTTCCCGAGCATGCGGAATTGATGATGATGATGAAACGTCAGCACACAGATTGTATGGTAGACACACATATGTAAGCCTGGATTGGAGTAGTTTAAGGCTGGAAATAAGTTTAAGCATTTACCTATGACATGATTGAAACTACGTACAGAGCTTCGAGGAGGTATTTCACTCACGGAGTTCGACTACCATGACTGAGAGTCTGACAGCAAACTCCACATGTTGCGCGATTTTTGGAGGGCTTCAGATTTAGTTGTACAAAATGCAACGCATTAAAAATCACGTTGAGGATCTTGAGGACGTTGCGAGAAGAGCATCATAGATCAATTTCACAGGCGGTTGTTGGAAGAAGAAGACGACAATGCCAATTGTTTGGTGGTGGTACCTGCTGTAATTAAGCAATGAGTTGTTTGCTTTCAGTATGTGTGAGTGCGTACTTCAAGCTTCGCCATTCAGTTATTTCCGTAATTGATTCAATAATCAATAAATCAGTATTTCAATCAATCACTTACTTGCTGCATTGTGCACGCACTCTTGTTTTACTATACTCTCGAGGACAATGCTTTGTGTTTCCCTTTGTCCCTGTAATATAACACTCTCCCATAGAGGACTTTTTCCAACAAAAGACCCAACTTTCTAGGACTGAAAGGATCTGTTGTTCTCCCTTTGTGTGTCGGTCTTCAGGGGTTTATGTAGAACACGTACAAGTCCACAAGACACGCCTCTGTATTCTTACATCCCACATCTATTTAATCAATCGATCCTTTGTTTTTGCAGCATTGTGCGAGTCCGCGAGACCCGTCTGACCATCCTCCTATCCCACATCATGATCGGTCTGTCGGTCTTCATGCTACCGGTCCCCCTTCAGTACATCCCCAACGCGGTCCTGTATGGTCTGTTCTTGTACATGGCCTGCACGGCACTGGATGATAACCAGTTGTTTGAACGCACTATGCTCCTCATCACGGAACAGGTACTGACATGATCCCAAAAAATGTCTTAATTTTTTTTCTTTTCTGGACAATTAGTTCAATCCATTTTGTTACAACTGTACGCAACGTGTTGAATGGTTGTGCCTAAACCGTTTGAAAATGATAGTGAAAGCAAAATGATGTTTTGAACATTTCAAGAATCTTATTTTAAAGAAGAGGCAATTATTTTCTGGTTGCTCTAGGTATTTCTTAACCGCTTCGCGCCAGGATTAGTTGTGCTGAAAATTTCAATTTTCGCAAAAGGCAAAGTTTTCCGGACAACTTCTGATATATAGCCAAACGCCACAAATATTGATTTGCAAGAGTGATTTCAAAAGTGTTTGTACGATATCTCCTGACAAATCTCATATGTTTCAGTGTGCACTGGAGCGTAAATTGTAAAATGGGCTGTGCACAACGGTCATTTCAAGACCAACACACGGTCCCCCTCCACAGACTTCACGGATTCGTCGCAGATTTGTGCCACTGAGATTTAGAGTGAAATAGATTTCACTTTCGATGGAGTTGTGATTGATTTGTGACTGCCTTGTGACTGGCTTGTAATGACCTTATGATTGATCTGCGACTGCCTTATGATGACTTGTGATTTAGTTGTGATTATGCATTTTGAACTGTGAGAGACTGGATTGCAGCTTACCAAACTTGTTCCCCTTCCATCACAGGCGGCCTACCCACCGAACCACTACGTCAGGCGAGTCCCCCAGCGTAAGATGCACATCTTCACCTTCACTCAGCTGCTCCAGTTGGCCTGTCTGTGTGGCTTTGGTTTTGCTCCTTGGCCCTACCTCAAAATGGTCTTCCCTCTACTCATCATGTTCTTCCTTCCCATCAGGTAAAGCTAAGTGAAGTTGGGTCATTCTATAAATTTGGGTCCACTTTTTTTGCCTGTCCCTGGTAAATTTGACATCTATGATTTTATAATTCTGATGCAATCCTTAATGCAGTCGTCCTCCAAGAGTGATTATGAATAGCAAACTACCTACCTAATAAATAGAAAATCCTTTGAAGTAATTCTTAATGATACTTGAGTGGTAAATTACAAAGAACCAAGGTAACAGAGACTGGAAAAAATGTCACACTTTGGACCCTAAATTTATAGAATGACGAACTTCTAGACTTAAGTAAGAGTTTATTACCTCTGGTTCTTTTCAGAACCATTCTCTTAGTTGAGAAATTATTCGCACATGGTGTTTCCGCAAACCTTTCATTATTTAACTTCTAAATTTGGTGGGTTTTTTTGAGGGGGTGGTTCACTAAAACGTTTGAACCTACTAATTTTGAATACCTGATTTCCCAAAATATTGACAACAATTTGAATGTTTCTTTGACAAGAACCAATCTTGTTTGAATTTTAGAAAGAAAATGGCTAGGACTGTTTATGAACTCGACACGGCTTTGCTTTGGCTGTGGGTAATTGATGAGCCAGCTGTGCCCACAACTTGCCTGCTTTGTCTGTTCATGGTCTGTTGACCCAGTTTGAGTAGTCACGGTGCTTGCTTGACTTACAATCTGACTGCTGGTGACTAGCCTGTGTTGAAATTATAGCAGAAGGAAGTGGATGGAAATTCTGACTGTCTGTGACTGTTTAAATAGCAGGAGGGTTAAAAAAAATTATGTTGCTCCTCGCCCTATTCCACAATGGCTGTTTATTTTCACTGGTGAAGCACATTTTGTCATCTTCCGACTGCCACTGCTCGAACAGAGACATTGACAAATTGAGAGAGAGAGAGATAGCTCAGTTGGTAAAGCACTAACACGCTAGTACTGGAGGTTCAAATCAAGCTACAGTCAAGTTGTTTCGTTCATCAAATTTCTTTCATTTTGTTGATTGCAGGCACAGGCTGGTCCCAAAAGTCATCCACACCAAATACTTGGATGCTCTGGACAGAAGTCACTGATGGTCCATGAAGCAGGGCTGAATTGTAGGCTTCTACACACACTACACTTGCACCAACACTATCCTGAGATAGATACACCAAGGGCCGTTTCATACTGTCTTGCCTACCCATGTTGAAATCGACACGGGTCTACCCTAAACAGAACCCGGTCACATCACAACTTGGGTAGGCTAGACGAACCGTTCATGTTAAACGGGTCGGCTGTAGATTTGGATTTTGCACCCAGGAAGAGCCACCTAACTCTGGTCCTGACCAGGGTTAGGTTTTACCCGTGTAGAGCGTTGGACCCGTGTACGTGTTCTGCATAATCCCCGAAACAGTCCTCTGTAATACGTTTGTGTGCTTAGTCTATGGGAGAGTGTTATATTACAGGGACAAAGGGAAACACAAAGCATTGTCCTCGAGAGTATAGTAAAACACGACTGTGTGTAGAAGCTGTGTTGGATTCTTGCTAGTGAGAAAGGGTTCCTGAAATCTCCTTGTTGGACTTGAGTCTGTCAAGGAGATTTTGGATAGTATGAATGGCCCTATGGTGCAAGGGAGAGGGGTAGCGATGGGACGTACACGTACCTCCAACGAAGGAATTCCTTTGGTCATGTGATTTTTCTGTCTTGGTTTCTTTAATTTGGTCTATATTTAGAGCAGTCACTATTCAGTTGGTTTCTGACAAAATGGTTCCAACTGAGCCGCACAAAAATGTTTACAAAAAGCTGTCGTTGCTGTTGTTAGAAGGCTACACAACGTCTACTTTTCTGCCCTGAACCCAAAGAAAACTACAGCAAGAAAATTTCTTAACATTTTCTGAAAGGAAAAGTTTTACAGGGAAAGTACTTTTTCAGTTTTATTGCACGAAGATACCGCCAGTACTTTGAAGTGTATGTATGCCAGTACGAAGTGAAGACTTTTGTTTTGATTTTACACAAAAACACCACCTAACGATATTACACTTTTGAAGAGTCACTGACGAACTGCTCGTCAACATAACATTCCATTTTGAAGTTTCAAATTAAAGCAATATGAATGAATTTGGAAAAGAACAACACACTTTATACATGATTTAATTGCAGAGGAAAAATACCGTAGATGTATTAAGTGCCAACTGAAATCTTAGGTTGAACTTTATGACATGCTGTCAAAAGCCAACCTCAGGTTGACCTGCCATTTGCGTGCGCCTTAGGTTGAACTTTATGACATGCTGTCAAAAGCCAACCTCAGGTTGACCTGCCATTTGCTTGCGCCTTAGGTTGAACTTTATGACATGCTGTCAAAAGCCAACCTCAGGTTGACATGCTATTTGCTTGCGCCTTAGGTTGAATTTTATGACATGCTGTCAAAAGCCCGCCTTGGGTCGACCTGCCATTTGCTTGCGCCTTATTAGGTTGAATTTTATGACATGCTGTCAAAAGCCAACCTCAGGTTGACATGCTATTTGCTTGCGCCTTAGGTTGAACTTTATGACATGCTGTCAAAAGCCAACCTCAGGTTGACCTGCCATTTGCTTGCGCCTTAGGTTGAACTTAATGACATGCTGTCAAAAGCCAACCTCAGGTTGACCTGCCATTTGCTTGCGCCTTAGGTTGAACTTTATGACATGCTGTCAAAAGCCAACCTCAGGTCGACTTGCATTTTGCTTGCGCCTTAGGTTGAACTTTATGACATGCTGTCAAAAGCCCGCCTCAGGTTGACCTGCCATTTGCTTGCGCCGCGACCGAACAACGATCGGCATCGAGCAGAAAAGTCATGCTCAGGTCACAAAACTGAGAAATTGTGTCATTCTCATGGAGCAAGCGGCATCTGGGCACAGAATAATTGCAGCCATGCTCATGTCACCTACAACGCGACAACGATTCACAATAAAAGTAGATGATCTGGATGCATACCTCAACTTCATATAGGTCGACTGCGATTGATTCCTGCATGTCGAGAACACGTTCACTCTACTCTTAATCTTATTGAGCACCAACTGATGCCGATCATCTTTCATTGCAGTTGCACTCGGGTTTGCAAAAAAATTGGGGAACTGAAATGTTCCTGGCCGTCGTAGCTCAGGCGCAGCAAGATCCTGAAATGTCAGTCACCGGTTTTTCCACCGAGAAATCATTTAAAGAATGTCGTACCACTTTGGATTATATTGATGTTGTTATCATCGCACAAGCTGAATATCGTCCATTGTCATGTCATTGATATAAAACTACTTAATGTATTATAAAACGTTAACTCCGTGCTCACAAAATAGGCCAAAGTTGTTTTCGTTGCCGTCCTAAAAATTCCATTTTCCACTCAACTGACCAAGTATTCAAAAGCAACAAATCTAGGAAAGAGTAGACATCATAAATGACTGAATTTAAAGAAACACTTGGTTTCAGACCAAAATATTATTTTTCTGATTTATTTGAGAAAAAAATGGATGAAAAATGTATACTAGAAATAAAAGTACCTTAAACACTAGACCAAAAAAAACAAACAAGGGAACAATTCATTCTTCACCCAAATACCTTATGTTTTGACCAAGTAATTTTGACCAAAATGTTGTCCAGGAAAACGAAAATTCAAATGAAGTTATGCGTATTCATAACTGGATATCTTAGATGATCGTCATTGTTTAAGGCAGTGACTTTTAATCCGCTGGTCCACGATCTTTAAATTGACCAAAACATTTTTTTCACGAAGTATATTCTCCAAAATTTTCATCACTTTAAAAAATCTATTTGAATTCTTCAAGTTTACATAAACGAAATCCTTGTTTTTCCTGTAGAATAACAAAATGATGCCTTGGGGAGACACTTTCCGATAAATTATTTGACAACATGGAAACAGTGGTCATTAGCGAGACATTTTATTATCTCCCTCAGGTTTTTAACGACCGTTTCTAGAATGAATTTTATTATCGCAAGTTGCTAAACGGTTCCTAATTAGGTCGAGAGTAGTATGATTAGAATGTTACGGGAAGGGTTTTGTTTTTGCCAAAGTTTATTGCAACGGCTCCCAAGGTACTATTTTCGGTCATTTGTGTAACCGCAATATTGAGTACTTTCTTGATCCTTTTTTTTCATATGAAGGCTTCAAGCATATTTACAGGGTACTAGTAGTGACATAGCTTTATGCCAAGTTTGCAGCTTAACATACGACATTTGTTTCAGCCGAGAGGTTGGTTAAAATTGCACAATATTGGGAAGATAAAAGTGTACTAAAGTCTATAACAGAATTATATGAGAGAATATTAAGCGACTATCGAGCGTTGGGTCAGCATTACTTCTTGCAAATGTGTGGAAAAAGTAACATTATTGAAGACATTTGTAAAGCTAGCAGTTGAAATTCAAACATATATAACTTGATTAATTTATTTTGTCGAGTCGCATATAGTTTCCAGTGATTTGTTTTTAGAGGAAAAATCGTTTTCCCTTTAAGCAGAAGAGAATTTGCAGACATGTTGGACATATACAGGGCGAGCCAAAAAGAAAGCAACCTGGATTAATGATTTTTTTTCCTTTGAAAAAAGGAATTACTAACATTGATCCATGCTATGAGAAATTATGCGTATTTTACTAAAATAGTCGATTCTTGACAGCTGTCCATGGAGTTCCATTGGAAGCTATTGAGCTGAGTGAGAACCAGAGATTTACACACAGGCATTCAAATACAAATGAGATTTTTATAATTTTTGGCAAGGCTGAAACATTATTTTTACTGTCAGATTTTGTGTTTTGAATATGAGGAAATGTTCTTCTGAAATAATGATAGTGATTTTTTGTCTGGTTTTCCTGTGCCAATTTTCGTTCACTCATGAAGGCGGGAAAACGCCCTTGTTTCACTGTATTCGAACAATACATGTAAACGATCATTGGGGGACAGCTGCAGTTTGTAATGTTTGTATTAAAAAAGACATAACTTGTGAACATACTACGCAAATTTAGTGAAATTTTCACAGTTACTAGTCAATAATATGTGATGCGATCAAGCTAAATGAGTCGTTTGTCGGGAACTTCATTTGGGTATACAGGCCAAAATAGGGCCACTTCAATCACATCACTTCATCACATCTCTTGGTCTTCCGACTTCCTTAATTTTTTAACTAAAGATGGTATCAGCATGCGGTTTCACAGCAGTAATGCTGAGATTGTGCTCTTTTCAAATCTGTAAAAAAAAATTGACCAGGGTCGACAAACGACTCATTTAGCTTGATCGCATCACATATCTACTCTATACCTGTGTTATTTTGATTAAATGGAGCAAGCCATATATTCTTTTGAAGTATTTTTTCTCATTAAGTAACTTCTTTTTGACTCACCTTAAGCGGGCGCGGACATCCAGAAATTTGTTTTACATTAGCTTGTCTAGTTCCCAGACCTATGATCTTGAAACTCAATGTTTCTTGAGCCTGGAGTGCTGACTAGTATCACACACACATAGCAACCGATGCAAACTGGTGTGCAAATTAATCTAGATGTTTTCATCGAATGACGTCACTTCGCCCTGGCTTAAAGGATATGCCAGTTGTACAATAGGAATTAGATTATTGGGTACTTAGGTTTACAATAAAGTAGAACTAATTAAAATACTTTTACAGGCAGTGCTTTATTTTATATACACTTTTATTTAGAAACCGGTAATATTTTAAGAGAGTATCTTTTTTGTTGTTAACTTTGCAATAGTAGGCCTAATTTCAGAGAAGGATTGGATTTTCTTGGTGAAAAAGGCTTCCATAAACATCGATTGAAAATAATATGTTTTCTTATCTACAAATTGGGGTCATTATATTGATATTTTACCCACCAGAAATTATGTAATCTGTTTCCTCCTTAAAATTGAAAATTATTGCAATATTAACTTAGCATTTAAGAGTTACTATACAACACATTTGAAGATACTAAGTACCAAATCTTAACCACATATAACCATATTTCTAAAAAAAAATAAGAATTAGTTGGTTCTTTTTTCATCTATTGGTTCTTTAACTAAATGTACTCTGTGTTTTAGAACTTTGCGTTTCAGAGCTTTTATTTTAATTTGAATTTTTACGATTAGAGATATGTTTTAGTTGTAGGCCTAGATGGTGCATGTAGTTTAGATTCCTCCTGTCGACTGCAAGTTTAGGTACTCAATCGAGGGAAGATGTTAGGTTTGAAAAACATCTTGGTGCATACATTTTCTGTTTCTAGAATTCATTTTTTGTCCCTCAAAATTACAAAACTGATTTTTTTTTTGAAGTGGAACAAAAAATTGAAATGAGCGGGGTTTGAACCTGCAACCATCGAATTGACTTCCAGTGCTGTACTAACCAAGCTATGGTAGTTCTCCATTTTATCAATGTCTTTGGTTTGACTAGCGCCCCTTGAACGAAGACATTAACAAAATGGGGAACCGCCAACATAGGGCTGGATAGCTCAGTTGGTAGAGCGCCGGAACGGCAATCCGGAGGTCGCAGGTTCGAACCTCACTCCAATCAATACCCTTGTTGCACTTCAAATCTTAACTTTTTGCACCTTCGATGTACATAATTTATTTTCTGTGGAGAGTGTTGGACCCAACTTCTTCCTGTATACACTCAGCAACAGAAGATTACATAAAACAGTTTTCTTGAAAACAAAATTCTTGTAAGATATAGAACAGTGATTATAAAGGTTGGCGCTTGCTGTTTTTCGCTTTTTGAGTTGATACGGACATCTTGCAACTTTTGCGTTCGACACATACTCACGGGCAGAGTTGTTTGTTGAAAACTTGTACGATAATGTAGATACAAGCAAAGCATTTATTCACGAGAGATTTTGGTTTGTACACGTACTTCAAGTGTTTGTAGATACTCACGATTGTTAATATTTCAAAAAAAGTTTATCAAACAATTTAAATAGATAAATTTACGGTTGATGTCGATGTGTCCCACCCGCTTGCAGGATCCAAGAGTTTGTACATAATCGTCGTGGCAATGGTTGTTTTTACTCACCAAATATAGAAACGTCGAAGTTACGAAAGAAAGGAGTTACAAGTTTTATAAAACCAAATGAATACCTGATATATTGAGCTTAACAAAAAAAAATATTGATAAATGTAGCAACAGACAAAGTACTCCTCTATTTAAATTTGGAATAGTCTATGCAATATGTTGACGATATAAACGTGCTACCCTGACTTGTCTATATGTGATTGGCCGACCACAGAAGCTGAGGGGTACTGCTCCCACATTGTAGAGACCTGGAGTATTTCAATTCAAAGACTAGTTTGTAAGATTTTGCTAGTTTCACTATTTTGTATCAGAGAATTGCACAAGGTTCTTTTTTATACCATGAACAGAAAAATAGCTTTGGTATTGCGGCATTTCATCTGTTATATTCCAGCTTTGTATTTGTAGTTCTTGAAATGTTCCAAGTTTTGTTTACACTTTGCAGTGTTGGGTTTTGTCGACAAACTTTTCTCGAAGATCATAGACTTTTTTTCAGACCAAGAGATAAATCTGTATGATTTAATGTGTGATTTTATTAAAAGGGAAGGCGAAATTTCGTTTGCTTGGTTGATATTGTAAAATTGAACACATGCTGAAATCTTCCCATCATTTTGTGAAAAAGTTGGTTTTGTAATTAGGGAAGTCATTTTGGAGTTGATTTTCAGACAATTTTGAAGTTGTACTAAATAAACCTGGGGGGGGGGGGGAAGCCTAGTGGTTAGGATTCGTGACTCATGATCATAGGGTCAGGGGTTCGAATTCAGCCGCTGGCCATATGTTGTGACCTTGGGCAAGCCACTTCGCCCCACTTGCCTCTCTCCATCCAGGAGTATAAATGGGTACCTGCATTAGCTGGGGAGTAACCTGCGATGGACTAGCATCCCATCCAGGAGGGAAAGAAATATTCTCCGTCATTTCATACCAAGATAAACGGTATTTTCTTTTAAGTCAGCTGAAAGTTCGTATAAAGTTGTCATAACAGCATTACAAAATAAAAGACAAAGTAGAAGTATAATTTATCTTTATGTTCTTGAATTTATTTCATTATTCTATTTTCAAGCCAAATCTTTAAGTTCAATTACAACAGTTACTATTTGCTAAATAATTATTTTAAAAGTATTTTATGTAAGAAATGTTTTACAGCTCCCGAGAGAGAGCATTGTTTACCAAAGTTACTTGTTTTGTTGTGCTCATTAAAATTATTTATGTTTAAAGGGTAAAAAAAAGTCAATTAGACCTCACGTGTGTGCATATCCTTGTTGGAATTTATACAAGTTGGTTTATTCTTGAAAATTGTTTTGTTAAATGGATTTTTATTTGCTTTTAGTAAATTAAAACTTACTGAAACCCGCGTCTGACTTTTTCGTTGTAAGTTTTCAACAAATGTAAATTATCCTGAACAAGCCAAGCAAAACTGGTTGGAGAAAAACGTTGAATTTTCAAAACGTTACACTAGTTCTTCACCTTTTGAACCATGCAAAAACGTTGTGTATGGCCAGTGTACAGATGGAAATTGAAATTTCAGTACGGAAATACTAGACCTATATCTACAGGTTTTGGTTTGAAGTCCCACCCGAGTGATTTTTTTTTTTCATTTTAAGAAACAAAACTCAAGTTTTGAGAAACAAAACTCATGTTGTGCAAAACAATAATGATTCCAGTCTAAAAAAAAAATCTCATACAAACCAATTAAAATTAAAATAGAAATTAAAATTCTAATTAATATTTGGGTCATCTATTTACAGTCGGATCTGGAGAAAAAAAACCTAAAAGAAATTAATATTGTTCCAAAAACAAGCACACTTGAAAAATTAAGAATCTAAACCATGCATTTATAATACATTAAAAATAATGTACAACGGGAATAAAAATGTTAACATAGAGCATATATATAATATAAACAGTCTTTGACCGTTTCACGGATTTCAGAGCAAAATATACAAGCGATATTTACATGTTTGGACCACTTTGCAAAGTCAATCTTTTCAATCGTTACCCAGACACTGCCATGCAAATTAAAGAATTCAGAATATTTGAAATGTTTCAAAACCATGATTTGTTCAAAACTTGAACTTGTTTTACAAGATCCAAAAAAAATCGGATGACTATCTTTGACCGTCGACGGGGAGTTTCTGGGCAAGTTCCATCAGCGCCATTGCACCCAGCATCTTCTCGCGCTGCTCCTGCAGTCGTCGGCGCGCAGACGCCCGAGGGCGCTTCGGCGTGCTCCCATTCTGGGCCAGTAGTTCTTGTTCATGCTTCCGCTTGGCCTGCTCCTGGGTCTTGATCTCCATTCTCTCCCTGTAATTCTCCACATACCTACGCCAAAACAAAAAAAAATCAAAAATAAATTAAACTAGGATTCCTGCAACTTTTAGGACAATAAATTTCCGTGACTTTTCCACGACCAAATTATGAAAATCCACGACCTAGTTCATCAAAATGCAGATCAAAACTGTATTAAACTTGTTCCGTGAAAAGTGCTTAACACTAACAGAAAAACAAAAATCAATAACTTTCGAAATCAAAATGCTTGAATCAGCAAAATTTGTCGCATTTTAACGCAGAGTAAAAATCAGATTTCCGATGCTCACATATGAATATATTATACAAGTTTAAAATTTAAAAAAAATTGGTCCTGACAAAATTCCATCACTTTTTGTCATTTATTAAAATTTCCTTGACTTTTCCAGGCCTGGAAATTGAAAATAAAATTCCATGATTTTTCCGGTTTTTTTTCCAGGCCACAGGAACCCTGTTTAATCCTGGAAGTGAAGAACTTATTGTTGTGGATTGGGTTTTAAACTCTATCTGATTGCATGGGTTTTCCCCCGAATATTCTCCAACCTCTACAACTCAATATTTACTTCACCATCCTCTCTTTAAAGGTTTCTCCAGGCTTTGCCATGATTGCTTTGAGAAATCCTTGGCTGTACATTGCCCGAAAAGAATACTAAAATCCTGTATAAATTTGGCCTTGTTTACGGACCTTTGTAGCCACATGTTGACATCTTCGCTGTTCTCGTCATTGCGAAGGATCTCCTCCAGTAAAGTCTCGGTGGATTCTCGTTGTAATGTAAGGTATGGATGGTCCGGGCAATGTCTGTTGGCATGTGTGAATCGACTCAAGCAACCTGAAGCGTAGACACATGATGGAGTTGTAAATTAAACAGGAACAATGCGAGTGCACAACAAGCTCTGGCCGTGTTGCAAGAAGTCTTGCCTGAAAATCTTGCCTAAAATCGATCAAAATGATCCCTGCCAGAGCTGAAAAATGCGACGCTGAAAATGCGACGCCGATCATGGCACATACATGTATTGAACACCATACTTTTGATCAATTTTCTGGGGTCAGACAGACAGACAGCTCGATCACCAAGTGACATGTAAAAGTTCCTGCCAGAGCTTAAAAATGTGGACAAAAAAAAAAAAAAAACAAGCAACATCTTAAAGACATTCTGCAGTAAGATTTGTCAGCTAAATATTAAGACACAATCCACAGTATGTATTTACACATTAAAAAGATAGGGGGCCTAATTACAAATTCCTCGATTCTTGTCACAACTCACAAATCAAGAAATTTACAGAAAACAGTTTAAGGTAGGTCTGCATGTACTTTTCTGTGCAGTGAGCTGATATTGCCTCAATTTCCCAAAGTTCAGAGCACTTTGTTTTACTTCAGAACTGGAACACGTGTTGAAGGCAAATTAATTGCACACTCAAAGACTGAAGACAAAATGGGATGTGAATCTTGCCCAATTCGTTAAATTACACAAATGTAAATGTTCTGTCTGTGACTTTTAAAATGAAACTGCAGCGAGGACTACGCACCTTTAGCGGTGCAGTAGAACGGTTTCTCCCCGGTGTGTAAGCGCTGATGGGTCTTAAGCTGACCGCTCTGTACAAAGGCTCGGCCACAGTTGGGATAGTCACATTTGAATGGACGTTCTCCTGCAAAGAAACATCGGGCATGAAATTAAATGTCTGAAAAATTATTAGAGTAGGGGGAAAAATGTTGCAAAAATGTTTTTCTTCATAGAATCTCAATGAAGGTCAGTCATTGCAAAAATGATAAGACATGAATCTGGGACTGAGAAACATTTCCAATTTTGTTAAGAAATACTTAACTTAGACAATTTTCTTGACTCTTCATGGACAATACACATACACAACCGCTGAAGTGGCGTCAGGTTGCAACATTTTTTCCAAAGATGTAACCCGGCCTAACACATTATGTTCCTTGACATGTTTGAACATTTTGAATGAAAGAACAAATTCATAATCATATCATTCATAGGCGTAAACTCTTTTCACAAATTATTAAGCGCCCTTAGTCCTATATAATTTATAAACATTCGGCCTAATTCAGTCATGTCACTTGTCAATTGATTCCTAATTTAGCACAAAAACAATTCTCAATCTCATAAGACATTTTTTTGTAAGACACAAGGCTGTTCAAGGTAGTATAAAATAATGCTCTGGAGAAAGGAATAATCATCAATCATGTCAATACAACAACTTCAACACAACATCATGATCATTTACCATCATGATCATTTACCATCATGATCATGCTCACCAAAGCCACACTAAAGATGGCAAACACGGTAAATAAAATACGGTCAATTTTGCCTACCTGTGTGTGTTCTGAAGTGAGCTTGCAGCGACTTTTCCCGGGGAAACACCCGCTGGCATATCTTACACCTGATTCCATGCCCAGATGTTGAGCCTTCCTTCTGAAGTTCTGGGATGATCTCGGCGCGAGGCCGGCCTCTTGGGCTGGGCACGGGTCCGCTGCCACCGCTGCTGCTGCTGCTTCGGCGGGGACTGGTGAAGCCGCGCTCCGAACCCGGTGAACCACACGAACTGCTCGGACTGAGCTGAACATTCCGAGCACTCTCCGGCCACCTCCACGGGTAGAATTCGGCCAAACCGGGGCTAACTGGGCTGCGAGGCAGCTGCAGTGGCCTGACCGGTGATCGGAGGATGGTATTCGGGCAGATTTTCTGCGGGGAATTCGTCAAAACCGAAGCCATTGTGTCAACAGCGTCTTAAACTCACACTCCGACGAGTACGATTGTCGTATTGTTGTGTACCGATCATTACGCGCCAACATTAAAACGGCACGGATGAATTTGGCGCCTTTAAACCGCAATGCAACATGGGTTAACCGCAAGGCGCGCGACCTGCCAGCAAACACATTGTTTTTCCGCGAAGCGAATTACACAGAATGATATAGGCCCCGTTGGTTAGTAGGAATCAAGACATTAGTTTTTAAAGGGCGTAGTTAGTTCGGAGTTTATTTTTGGCGCTTCATAATTAATCGATCATCATTGGCTGAAAGCGATCGATTGGGATTTCATCCTGCCTCTTTTAGGGGGGGGGGGGGGATAGCAAAACGACCTCGTCAAGAAATTTGAGACCAGAAGTATAAAGTTTTCTGTAAAAAAGAGAGAAAAGTTTGTCACAAACTGAAGGGGAAAAATAAACAGCATATCGCATACAGACAGCATAGACATACAAGAAAAATACTTAAAAGATGAATTGAGTTTTATTGGACGATGAAGTTGACGAATAACTTTGACAAATTTGGCAAATAAGGACCGAAAACGAAATTGTATGTGTTCACTAATTTAAAACAGGCATGGTGAACATGGCGTAGCCGGCCGGGTTATGGGGGGGGGGGAGGGGGGCTGGATCCGTGCAGTGGATCCGTGCAGCTGAAAGGTAGACACCCGGTATTTTGTACCAGCTTCCCATAAATATAATGCTTGCTGTTGAACCTTTGTGAATAATTTCAAAGTCATGAAGTCCGAAATTCAAAAAACGATGGCGTCCGGAAATTGGGCACAAAAATAATTGGCCAAGAAGTGATATGCATGTGCGTGGCGCACTTGATTAAATACGATAAGTTGATAAATTCTGATAAATCATTATTATCTCCACTCACAAACCAAAGAACAAGTTTGTCAGAAAATTATTTTAGTATTTTGGCCCTTTTTTGGGGGGGGGGGCATTTTTAAGGGGTCCGTTGTGCACTTCGAAATAAAATCGGAAAATCGCGCCAAAATAGAATTTCTCTGGAAACGGCTTTGACTCAAGATTTATGAACGGGAATGTTTAGAGCTTGATGAAATTTCACTTACTGGGAAATTTCAGGTAAAAATTGTGCTCTGCTAGCAAGGCACTAGAGACGAAAAATCCAAGTGCGCCACGTTAGGGGCCCTTCGATCGAAGTTAAAATCACTCACCTTAAGTTTGAATGTTTATTAAACTTTATTGGAAATCCTTCAATCATAATCTTATACTTTCGAAAAAGCTGCATGATTGGAATATTGAGATAATCGATTAAATATTCCCTTCAATTAATCGAATATTTGTTATTTAATTGACATTGTGCGGGTCGGGAAGGGGGCGGGGCGTAGAAGGCACGAGGGGGCCCGGGGGCGGACTGCCGCGGCGCGGTTCAGTCGCGTGATGCGATGATATACCCTGTTCGTCAATTTGCCCATATAAGGCAATTCCATGTACACAAGGCGCACATGTCGAATTGAAAATGAGGGTTAACGCTAAGTAATTATCATTGTTGTTGAGGGATCGAACACTCTGAAACAAAACAACACTTTTTTTTCTTCGAAATAACATTTTGAGAAACATTCTAGCGGCTATCGGTTATATGCACATTGTACATATATGTATGTAACACATGCACAGTTATATTAAAAATTCGGCGCCCTCATAGCTCATGTATTATTTTGGTGCCCTGAATTCTTGGTTGGTACCAGTCTCTTCCCACTGTATTATGTCTACCTGCAACACGGCTACCAGCGCTGTATTCATCGATCATGCATTCGCGCTATGCAAAATCGCATGCATGATATCCGCATGCAGATATGCTCAGAGATTTCGCCATATTGGACGATCCCAAGAACTTGCACAAATGCATCTGAACTTATAACGAAAAGAATCCATTGCCATCCTGAATTTGTCGAAGAAATCGGCAAAGATGGATTCACAATATTCGGTACAAGTTGAAAACAGGTTCTTCCTGGACATGGACATGGTCGGAGATCCACTGGAAATCCTTCCGACGGAAAAGAAATCACAGAAGAAGGACAAGAAAAAGAAGAGCGAAGGGAAGAAGAAGGCCGAGGCAGAAAAGAAAGAACCCGAGCCACAACAGAAGCCTAAAGTCGAAGGTAACTCATCTTAAATCACCTTACATGTTTCTAAGGATATTTGTCATTATTTTAGTGCTCGAAGGTGGTTGCTAGTGTTTTATTTTGACCGATATTGCGAATGCGAGCATATTATTTTGTGAGCAGTCACATGTAGTCGAAGCCGCCATTTTTAAACCATGAATGTCTATATTTTTTGCACACATTCCAAGAAGAAGAATGTTTCCACAATTGACTGCATGGATGAATGTAACTGTTCATTGCATGGTATTGCAAATGACATTTTTGCAGCATGTTAAAGAGGTTAATATTGTTTGTAGAATGTTGAATGGTCAAATGTTGGTGCTCAGAAATTTCTTGTCAACTTCACTTTTTCTGTTGCAGTTTCACATTAAAAATTGTATTTTTTATGACAATTTTTTTTTCAATAGAAACCACACTGGGAAAGTATGTTGCATCCTGATGCCACTTTTTTTCATCATATAGGGCCTATTATGTCAATGAAGGTCAGTCATTGCCAATAGCCTATGCTTAAATTAAAAGACATGAATCTGGGACTGAGAAACATTTCCAATTTTGTACATGTTTGTAACAAAATACTTCGAAAATGCACTTGACCCTTCAATAGACTTTGTACACATCTGGTGTCTGGATGCTACATTCTTTCCCTACACTGTAAGCTGGTAAGTTGAAACCAGAACATGAAAATCAACTTGATATCCAACTAAAAAAAAAAGATTATAAATATTTTACCACACTTAAAAAAGCCCTTTTGTTTTTTACAAATTACAAATTACCGAAGCCCCCAGTTGAAATTATTGAAATCTAAGGTTGAAAATATTATATTTTTTTTTGAAAAATTTTTGCAACCTGACTTTTTCCTTCATATATCATCTCAATGAAGTTCCGTCAAATGTTCAAAAATGATGATAAAACATGGATCTGGGGCTGAAAAACATTTCCCATTTTGTTGGGAAATACTTACAAAATTTTCTGACTCTCCATAGACTTTGTACACAACCGCTGAAGTGGCGTCATGTGGCGACATTTTTTCTGTTTTTTTTTCAATTGGTGTAAATTAACTTGCATTATTAATTGGTAAAATAACGTGCAAAATTGTTTCCAACTTAGACCTGTAAAGAGAGCATTTTGTTTGTACAGAAACGCGGCAGGAGCCTGTGGACTCCAGAAGGCAAGGCGGCCGAGGCGGCAACCGAGGCTCCAGCGCCCGCCAAGGCGGAGAAAACCGACGCCCGCCCCGCGAGAGAAGGGATCAAGACTCCAGCGAGAACCAAGAGAACCATGCCCCGGCCGAGGTCCGGGGTGAGAGGTCGGACCGGCCGGTGTACCGGGGAGCCGATCAAGCCGACAGGCCGCCGAGGGGCGAGAGAGGCCGAGGCCGGGGGCGTGGCAGAGGGCGCGGCGGATACTCTGGTGGGCGTGACTTCCGGGGCAAGAGGGAGTTTGAACGCCATAGCGGCAACGACAAGAGGTACTTGTAAATTTGAGGTGGTGGCGACACTAAAAAAAATTCCAGCCTGTTTTCTTTTCACTACATGTATCCCACAAAATGGGATTAAAAATTGTCCATTTAAGGTTTTTTTTGGATAAAGCGGACACAATACGAGGGCGCTATTCAGAGTGGGTAAAATTGGGTAAGTACCAGAGTTTTCAACCACTCTAAATAGCGCCCTCGTATTGTGTCCACCTTATCTCAATAAGGCTGAGTTTGGCTGCAAAGGGTGAAATTATACGATTTTGACCTGAAAAGTTCACTGATCATTTCCAATAATTGTCGGAACGAATTGATGCACCAAGCCAGATTTCTCACTCTGAAGGGAAGGCACTCTGAGTGCACGTGACGGCTACAATTTGATTGTAGTTCTTTATATTTGACTGAGAAATTGTGTCTAATTACATCTGTGTCGTTGGATTTTGGAGTTTCGTTAAAGTACATAAGAATAGAAGCTCCAGTTGCCAAGAAGTTAATTGTCAAATGGAACAATTTTTTTTGTTTCACTTTTGTTTATATTCATGAGTCATCTGTTGCATTGTGGTGGAATGTTGTTTTCCTGGTCAGTTTTAGAATAAATACACTTTGGTTGAGAACATTTGTTGAACCCAATATTGGAAAGAATTACATACACAGACATCATTTTCCCTGCAGTGACCTATCGGCCATCAGAAAGTGATAACATGTCTAAAAAGTCAACTTTAGCAAGGAAAATATTGAAGCATTTACTGAGAAAACAGCTTTTTTGAGACCAGTCTCATAGGGTTTGTGCACAGGGTGTCAAGTGATGTCCAGGTATGGAATTGTTTCCCCAATATTTGACCCAAACTGTCCTACCCAGCATTATCCAACAGTGGGCAGTGTCATGACATGTTGGTCTGAGTGGTGGACTGAAGACATTTTTTTTTTTCCTGGTGGTTGAATTTTGTTGGATTCAGCTTGCTTCACACATCAGGGCCTATTTACACATGGGCGATTTTGTCGCGACGACTCTGGCGCGCAGCAATGTCGTAGATACTCGTGTGTGAACAAAGATGCATGAATGTCACGCAAAATAGCCGCTTTATCCAAGTTGCAGGACACAACACTTCTTTACTCAGTGCACTTTCCTTCACTGTAAAGATTGTCCGCACTGCAGTTGTTCAGATACTTCACTTTGCCAGACTAGCAAGCCTATCTCTGTGAGCGCAACCCAAAGGTTGCGTAAGGAGTAATAGGGTAGGTTATTACAAGCAATTTGATTATGCGGAACTTGTTAAAACGTACATGTGCATAACTGCCATGTTTTGGTTAAAAGGGAAGTTAATGCACAATAGCTATGAAATTATTTTAACCCTAACTCCCTAGGCCTTTTTGCTTGGATAGCCTCAATCCTGCAAAATCCTCCAATTGGCCGCATGGAAAAACAGCATGATATAGCCTCAATCCTGCAAATTCCTCCATTACTTCTTGAATATGGTCCATGGAGGGGTGACCACTGCCTGAATCCTGCAAAATACTGCGGCAGTGACTGTCAATAGGTTGAGGCTTGGCCAGTGACATCCTGGAGCAGTACGGAGGATTTCAAGCATAATCCAGGCCTATATTTATGCTTGGCTGAGCAAAAACAACACAAGATCCGGCCCAAGACCTTGACAAAGTGCATCCTACGAAATAATAAACGCACTTTAGCCATGTAACCTCAATCCTCCAAATTCCTCCACTTTGGCAAAAAGGATTTTGAAGGATTCAGGGCGGTTAGGGTTAATATTTATTAACAGTCACTGCACTTAATGAACGATAAACATAGTCCGAGTTAGTTTTGCACCACCTGGGCACCGCTATACTGACATGGAAAAGTACGCCTGTCTCTGTGTCTAAATGCGAGCCTTCACGGGCTGACTTGATGCCTTCTTCTGTTTCAGCAGCTCCTTAAAGCCCCAAGACAAGCGTGAGGGGGCCGGCTCCCACAACTGGGGCACGCCCAAGGACGACATGAGGTGAGTGGACAGGTTTTGGGGCTCTTTTTTTGCTTTCCTGCTACGAGCATCTCAAAACTCCAGGAAACTCTTCCCACTTGGATACCGACCAATTTTTTTTTCCGCCTTGAAGTAGAAAATAGTGCTTGGCAAAGTTTAGCACGCACGATGAAAATCAACGGAGAGACAGTTTTATGCAAAGACACAAGTTTTCTAGTGCGAGTTGGAAGATTTTGTTGTTTTGAGATGCTCCGGTTGTTGTTGACTCGCAGTCAATTCCTGTTGCACCCTCTCCACAGACTTACAACCCCCAATAATAAATGGACTCCACCCACCTAGGGTGTGGCCTAGTGGTTAGGGTTTGTGACTCATGATCTGAGGCCCAGGGGTTCGAATCGAGCCACTGGCCATGTGTTGTGTCCTTGGGCAAGCTGCTTCACCCCCACTTGCCTCTCTCCACCCAGGAGTATAAATGGGTACCGGCATTAGCTGGGGAGTAACCTGCGATGGAATAGAAATATTCTCAGTGGTTTCATGCCAAGGAAACCGGGCATAAATGCCGGCCTGATGGGCTATATTGGCTCTTGACATGCTTTACTTTTTCACTGTCTCAAAAGGAGCAGATAGCCATCGGTGACCTCACAGGACAAATTTTTCATTGGAATTTGCAGTAACCCCAAAGCGCCTTTGTTAGGGTGCCAAGGATATAGTCTAACTCTCTCTCTTTGTTGCCATTGATGGGGTACTGTAACAGTAGTGCAGACTTCATCCACTACATATATGTATTGCTTCAAATTGGCAAATCACCCAAGTTGTAAAACAACCACTTGAACAATAACCCTGACAAATTTGACAATCCATGAAAATGGTTTTTGAAGCGCATTTCTCACTTAACTCGGCACCAAATTGTGGGTGTGGCAGTAAGTTACTTATCTACCACCATGTTGCGTCTGGTTCTGAGTCACTAATCTACCCTTAATCACATGTCTATACTAATTACTAAGTTACTAGTCGGCGACTAAGTCGCTTAAACTGCATACTAAGTCACTAGTTAGCCGCTCAGTCACTTAACTGCAAACTAAGTCACTAGTTAGCCGCTCAGTCAGTTAACTGCAAACTTAGTCACTAGTTAGCCGCTCAGTCACTTAACTGCAAACTAAGTCACTAGTTAGCCGCTCAGTCACTTAATTGCAAACGAAGTCACTAGTTATACTTAACTGCAAACTGTCACTTATTATCCACTAGACCACTAACTCACTTAACTTCAAATGAAGTCACCAGTTATCCACTTAGTCACTTAACTACAAACCAAGTCGCTGATTAGAGACTAAGTCACTCGTTTGCACAAACAAAAAAGGATAATGCAAATTCATTTCTCAAAGAGCAATTCCTTTTCTTGTTTTTTTTTTTTTTTTACCCGTACGTTCAAAATGATATTTTTAAACACCTACCTTCGAATCTCTTTCTGATATGAAGCAGAATCTTATATTTCATCAGGCAATGCAACCTTTCCTTACAGTCATCTGAAGCAAATTCTTTTAATAACATTGGGAATCGGACCTGTGCTACAAAGAACTTACACTGTCAAAGTCCTCTTTTCATGCACATAAATCCCATTAGATTTCTCTTTAGGCACATGATCAATCCAACAAAATCTAATGTCAGCGTTAATGTGGAAGCCTGCTGAATCCAACAGACTTCAACAGTTTGTTGAGTGCTCAGATGTCCAACAGAGGTTTTCTGTAAAAATGCGTTTATCTGGGTATGGGCTGTCAGAAGTTACCACTTCTCAGACCTAACCCCCTAGGGTATTCTGGCTGGTTTGGGCTAGAAACCCTGCTTAATGTAGCAACATATAACACTTGTCAAAATGACACGTCTGCCCAGTGTAGCAAGATCCATCAGGTCAGAAATCTCATGGTCAAAATGCCTCAGAGTATGTGATCACCGATACAACTGTGGCATTGTTCAATGGGACTAGCTCTCATTGTCTCAGAATTGGCCGTTTATGCACTGGTGGTGGCTCAATGCAGCAAGGTCCCACAGACTTTTAAGCCAAGTTTCCATTTGGGGAGTGTGTGGCCTAGTAGTTAGTGTTCGTGACTCATGATCAGAGGGTGAGGGGTTCGAATCCAGCTGCTGGCCATATATTGTGTCCTTGGCCCCACTTGCCCCTCTCCACCCAGGACTATAAATGGGTACCGGCATTAGCATCCCATCCAGGGGAAGTAGAAATATTCTCGGTCGTTTCATGCTACTGAAACCGGAGATAAACGCAGGCCTGATGGGCCACATTGGCTCGTGACAGACTTTACTTTCAATATCGAGGTAAGAAACGCACTAACGCAGAGAGCAACGCAAACGAGATCCAAACTGCAAGGCAGACGTATGGAAACATTTCATTCCACAAATGTCAGCGACAACCCAAACGGACGCAAACTATCTCGTAGACGATCGCGGAGTCTGCACAAGCTTAACGTCGATATGGAAACTAGGCTTTGCACCTGTTGCACTGTGTTGCGTCTGGCAGGGTCAGGTTAGTCCGTTGAGCTCATTCATTTCAAATGTCTGTTTTATTGCATTGCAGGGACCTGAACACATCGAACGTTACCGACGATGGAGAAACAACCCCTGAATACAGCGGACAACCCATGGACACGGACGCACAACCCAAGTAAGCTTACGTTCTCTTGGTCAGTGTCTGGCCGTGTCCGAATCATCTGGCTATGGCCGGCAATAACGCACGGGTCTATGTGAAGTAGTGGCAGCCGCTAGCCAGTGGCTTCCATAGATGCGTGTGTTATTTCTGGCTGTAGCCATATGATTTGGACATGGCCAATCTTAATGCCAGTGGTTTCACTCATACCAAATGACCAAGGTCCCTGTTCACATATGCAATACAGTAAACTCTCATTCACTTGAAAACTCCGATAACTCGAAAGTCCATTTTTCTTGAAGTAGTAGTCCATTCCGATGTAGGGATAAGGATTTTTTTTGAGACGCACTGTTGGAAATTTCCGTTAGTAGTTCTTTTTTTTTTTTATTCGGCGAAGCACGCGCAAGCGTTGACACGACGAACACGCGCGCGCGGTTGCTATAATTCGTCGGATCAGTGCGCAACATCGCGTAGCTGCAATTGGCTCAGTGAGAACGTGTCTTGGACTTGGACTCTGGATACCTCAAACTTTGTATCCATTCCCTTGAGATTTGACTTAACGGGAGTTTACTGTAGTTGAGTTCCTTACAAGTCCTCCAGTCTCAAGTCAAGTACCATGACAAAAGCAGTCCATTGTAAATGTTTATATGTGATAAACTTTTACCTGGACTTGTGACGGCCTTGTGATAGATGTGAATGCAACTCTGGTTCAGATCAAAAATTAACGCTAAACCTCCTCAGTCCTCCAAAATCAACCAGCTGGTTTGGGAGGGTTTAGGCTAAATGGCAAAGCAAGTGTAAGTTGACTTTGGAGGATGCATTGTGTCGAGTTTGTAGGCTGTACCCAGCATTATTTATGTTCAGCCATGCATAATTGAGATCGAAATTATACTGGGCATCATCCGCACTGCTTCTGGATATCAACTGCGCTGCCTCAACCTATTACAGTGATTTTGAAGGATCGAGACAGTGGACACCCCTCCATTCAGCGAATTCAAGAGATAACGGATGATTTTGGAGGATTGAGGCTGTATCAAATTTTCACATGGTGGCAATGGGAGGATTTTGCAGGATTGAGGATGTTTTCTAGCAAAAAGGCCTAGGCTGTAAAGGTTAAGAGCTGTGTAAGCATTAAATTTGTTTCGTTTCGGCAGGGAAACCACCGAAGGCGGAGAGACCAAGGACGGCGAGGCAGTGGAAGGAGAGGAAGAAGTCCCCAAGGAGGAGGAGGCAAAAGAGCTGACTCTGGATGAGTACAAGGAGCAACTCTCCAAGGAACGCTCCAAGGCTCAGTTCAATGTCCGCCGCCCTGGCGAGGGAGAAGACACCAGCCAGTGGGGACAGACCGTGGCTCTCAAGAAACAGGACCGAAGTGAGGACGAAAAGGTGAGTTTCTCAAGTAATGATTTATAGTAACCGTGAAGCCGATTCCAAACTTTGCAGCCGTCCCATGAGGGCCAAGGATGATTTCAACAGAATCTTGACCCTAACCCTCCAGGGTATTTTGGCTAGAAACCCTGCTAAACGCAGCAACATGCAACACTCGTCTAAGTGACAAGCCTGCCCAGTGTAGCAAGATTCATCAGGTCACAAATCTCAAGGCCAAACTGCCTCAGAGTCTGTGGTCACCAACTGCAGCAGGATACAACTGTGGCATTGTTCTATGGGATTAGCTCTCATTGTCTCAGAAGTGGCCGTTGATGCACTGGTGTTCGTAGCTGAATGCATCAAAGTGCACCAGACTTTTCAGCCTGTCCCACTGTGTTGCGTCTGGCAGGGTTAGGGTTAATTAATGATGCCACTTGAGAGGATGGTACTGAAGCATGGGCACTCATCGGTGTGAGTGGTGTCGGACTCAAGTCCAGGACCTGGACTCAAGTCCGACTCAAGTTAAATTTCGATGACTCAGACTCAACTCGACTCCAGTCATATCGGCAAAAAGACTTAGACTTGGACTCGACCATTATGGTTCAGATTTGATGATAATGACTCCTTACTCACGAGTCACACATTTTTTTTTACCAAAGAAATATAATTTTGATGTTTTTCCCCCCTTAATGTAACGCCATAAAGCTTGAGAATTCTGTACCCACTTACGATCTCGACCGACATGAATTTTCTTCGGGAAATTCTGATAGTCAAGACAAAAATCAGAGAAAACATACCAGAAACCAGAGCATACCAGAAACCAGAGCCTCTTTTTTTTGGCCTAAAGAACATTAAACACATTATAAACCGTAACCCACCATCTCCAGGTGGTATTGTAAATCGTAACGTTTGTTATTAAATGCACTCCTTCCTATTTCCCACAACCGCAAATCACTTTAATACATATATTGCTTACATGTATGAGAGTCCAGCACCCGATTTCAGGAAGCGCTGCGACGCGTCGCAACTCGAGTTACGACGTGTAACACGTCGCAACTCGCGACGCGTCGTATCTTCCATTTCACGAAAGTTGCGATGTGTTAAACGCGTCGTAAGTTCCTTGACAACGGCTTAAAACACGTCGCAAGTTACGACGTGTCTAGTGGTCATCGCAAAATAAGAAGAGTCATTTCTAAGCCAGTTTTATGCCACAAACATTACATTAACGAGATTATAATACCGAGGCAATGTGTGTAAAGTTGTAAATAGAAAATTCATTGAATAATTATGAATTAGACTGGAATATTAGAGTTGAAATTTCAAAGTAGCTATACAGTCCAATGAGAGCTTGTTTTCCTTCAAAATTGCATCGCACGGGCGCCATTTTGTTTTACGTTTTAACAAATGTCGAGCTGAGATCCGACGACTCTTTGTTGAATATCAGACGACTATTTACTGTACGCTGACTAAAGACATAAAACAGTCACCGAGTTGTGCTATAAATACACCTACGACGCGCCGCACTTACGACATGTTTAGTGAAATGGATCACAGGACGTGTCGCAGCAGCGACGCATCGTAGAGATACGACGCGTCGCAGCGCTGCGATGCATCGTAAGTTACGAAGAGTTTGATGAAATCGGGTGCAGGTCAGTGCATATGTATCTATATCGTACAGTGCATTGGCCTACACGTTCATGTACACATTGGCTCGTGACTCGGAGACTCGGGTTTGAATCAAACGACTCGTGTCATGGGCTCAGATTTGAACCAAATGAGTCAAATACTTGGACTCAACCCGAGCGACATGACTACAACTCGGGCACTCTTAGAAAATGGCACTGAAGTGTCGGGCAATATCCTAATTTTTTACTTTTCGCTGAGACATCATGCATATAGTTTAAACATCATGTTGATTTCATATGGAAGAAAATATGCTTAAACGTTTTCATTGCAGATTCAGTTCCAGCATGTTTGCTTAACAATTGTACGAGTTATGCTGATAACCTTTTCCCTGTTGTGTTTCAGCCTGCCGCCGTGGTAGAGCATCCACACAAGGATCGCCAAGGCAAGGCCCAGGTTGTGGACATCAACATCAGCTTCAACGAATCGGAGCGCCAGTCTGGAGAAGGAGGGCGGGGCATGGGACGCGGAGGACGTGGCGGCCGCGGAGGCAGAGGTGGCCGCGGCGGTCGCGGTGGTCGTGACGGCGGTGGTCGTGATGGCGGTGGTCGTGATGGAGGTAGTCGTGATGGTGGTCGTGATGGCGGTCGGGATGGCGGTCGTGATGGCGGTGGTCGTGATGGTGGTGGTCGTGAGGGCGCTGGTCAAGAGGGTGGTGGTCGTGAGGGCGGCGGTCGTGGTCGCGACTTCGGCCGCGATCGCGACTTTGGCCGTGATCGCGACTTTGAGCGCGACGACACCCGCACCGATCGTCGCAGCGGGGAGAATGAGCGTGGATACACCCCGCGGGGCGGTGGCCGCGGCGGCGGCTTTGGAGGCCGTGGTGGAGGTCGCGGAGGTCGTGGTGGAGGTCGCGGCGGAGGTCGCGGTGGCGGCGGGGGACGAGGTGGCCGTGGTGGAAGCAGCAGTCAGGCTCCACTGATGACCAGCGAGGAGGAATTCCCCACTCTTGGTGGCGGCCCCAAGTAAGCCACGTCACAGCGTCACGTCACGTCACAGCGTCACGATAGAAGCTGCTGGTAAAGCAAATGATGCTTACCATTATGGAGAAAAAAAAAAGGTACACTTCTGTTGTACTTTATTAAGAAAAAAAAAAGCCGTTTTGGCCCGAACTGAATGACACTCACAACTAGGGACTGTTGTAGCGGTTGGTATATTTTACAGCCGCCCTGCATTTTGTTCCTATAAATTTTTCCCTAACGCCCAATGGAAATGATATTATCAGGTGTTGTTTACAAACAGAATTGTCAAACGGGGAAGAAATAATCATCAACCAAAAGTCAAAAATCTTATTAGAAAGATTGTCGCTTAATTGAAAGTGATAATCCAATAGGATTTGTAAACTTAAGTATTCTTCATTTTATATATTGTTTTTGCATGTGGTTGATAATACATCTTGGCATTAAACAAAGCAGGTTATTAGTGACGCAAAATAATGCCTGAAAACGATTGTTTTGTTTTTTTACTTGAAATAGCCGACAAAAGTACTCTATAGTCAATTTTGTGATTCATTTCTAGAGGAGGTCTGGAGATTTTTTCTTCCACTGTTCATTTTATGTGAATACTTTTAAAAGAATTAATAATTTCTCGTAGCAATGCAGTCCACGGGCCATAGATAAATTTATATGCTGAAAAAAATTATGATCTGAAAGATTTTTTGATATTTTCTTATGTTTGTTGAAGATGAGTGATCTCTGCCCTTCATGTAGAAACTAGCGCCTTTTTTTTTTTGGTTTGTTTTGTATAATTTTAATTGCGGCCCTAGGGTGCATTGATCGAGAACAAATTGAATCCCGAGCCTACTTGTAAAATACGTAAATCAAAGAAATCTTTGAGACCCTTTTTGCAAATTATTGAAGAAGGAATTTTTTGTTTTGGCTTTAGAAGGTAAAATCGAGGTGTTGATGTTCATCTTTGAAAACCTTTTTGCCAACTTTTAGCCAAATCAAAACCACGCTGCAGAGAAAGATGTGAATTATTTCCTAGCAAATTTGCCACAGAAGGAAAACAATGATTACGATAGATTTTTGATATTTGAAGGAGATTTTTTTTGCAAAACGGAATGCTTCAGAAGTGGTTGTTTTTTTTGTATAAGATTGTAAGCTTGTTTACAAAATAGTTCCGATTGGAATGAAATGAGGCTAGGGGAATATTGGATCAGCGAGAATGCATATCTGTGTGTCCACTCAAAATTTCGGTGCAATTTCTGGAACTGTTTTTGAATCTGGTTGCCTGCAAGTTAACTGTATTGTTGAATTATTTTGTCTGAAATTGATCCATATTTCACTCATATGGAAAGCATGTATACCACGTCTTAGAAAATGCTGGGAATTTGGCTGAATATTTGTGAACAGAGAAATTGACTGGAGCGAGATTTGAACTGTTAATCAACGGAGAGCAACAAAACTCCAAACTAGATAGCTCAGTTGGTAGAGCATCGGTACTGCTTTTCCAGCTGTCACAGGTTCAACTTCAAATCCCTCGCCAGTCAATTTCTTGGTTTGACCCTTGTCGACAAATCTGGGCACGGTATCACGTCTTTCACAGGAGGCCCCCTTCAATGGCCGAAGCATTGTGATTATATCCGTACAATAGCGTGCACAGTGGTTTCGCCATTGAAGGGGCACCTGATTGAACAGGTGATCACATGCCAAGATTCGTTTATACTGAAGAATGAAAAATAGTGAACTTGGTCACTTTCCCATAGTGGTTCAATTGTTTAATTTCCTTGTCCAACATGTGTTAACTTTACCAAATTCGCAGTTCATTTTTCCCTAATGATGTCGCAATTTCTTTGTAGGAGAAATCACAATAAGCCATTATCGAGTTAAATTTGAATAAAATCTGGAATGCTGAGTTAATCCAATGTTTTGCACATTTTAACTTGCATTCTGCCGACCAAAGAGACTGTTACTATATCACGCTATTCGGGGCAAGCCTTATGCTAGCAACCCCCAGCTCCGGCATGGTCTGGTGTCTTTGTGCCATTTTCACCCATTGTGAACAATGTATTGGTGCTGAGCGTCTCTTACATAACTATGCAAGAGCTTGCCCCGAATCATGTGATTAGCAACAGTGTGTTTGGTCGGGAGAATTCGAAGTTAAAATTGTGGCAAGCATTCTGAGCAAGTCGGTGTACCAGATGTTTTCAAATTTAAATCCCAAAGGGTATAGGCCACACGCAAATGGCTTATTGACTGAATGAGTTGGTATACTTTTTGAATTATTTTACTGGAGCCTCCATGCACTGGTAGTCCTAGAGAATATTTACACAAATTTCCTATTGAACACTCCATTCAAAGTATGACAAGTTTACTGCTAGTTCCTTACAGTTGAGAAGCGAAGTTGATGTTGCCACTTTGTTTCGACTTGCTCAATTGTCCAGGGTTATTTGTGTTGAAAAGAAAAGTATATCAGACTATGTCTACCTCTTCTTCTCTAGTTCTGCCATTCAGCGCTAACTTCCAAAATGGTGCTAATTTTTTTGTCGTTGGCCCGTAAACTGAATTCTGAACTTTAGTCGATTCTGTTTCAAGATGACTTTGTGCAATGTAAATTTTTGCTCAAACGTTGCTGTATAAATATGCTCATACATGTACCAAGAATTGACATTTTGTACAAAAAACGAAGGTTATCGCAGCTAAAACAAATCCTTGTACTGAGGTTTAGAATACTGATGGCTTATTATAGGAATGTATTTTGTACTGTCGGTATTTTGTTGATAAATGCATGCAGAACTTAACTTCATAAATGGCGTTCCTAAAAATGATGTAAAAAGGGTGATATTTCTAATTGACCATATTGACATACCTTCAGTAATCCACGAGTTATATGTAGAAGATAGATTTAGCAATGCAATTTCCTGGCAAATGGCGGCGTTTAGAGAAGAAAAGGAAATCTCTTCGCAAGTTTCTTTCTAAAAGGCTTCCAAATATTATCCAAAATTGTTTCATTTTTCCCCAGCCTCATTTCATGTGTACCTACCATCATGCCTTGATGTATTGTTTACGTAGCACTGACAGAATAACATTGCTATTGGGTGGAAGAAAAAAAACTTTAAAAAGCGTGTTTTTGGTCTTTTTAAAACTTTTGTGTAGAGTGTTTGAACTTTCAGCTACATCTGCATGAATATTGAGTACATTACCGAAAACTGTTTTAGCATCTGTAAGGTGTATGTTCAGTAAGGTTTGTTGATGTAAATATCCAAAGTTTACATTTATGTTTGTATGTTAAACTGATAATGTAGTAACCAACTGATAAGTATCACCAACCAATGACACACAAATTGACCGATACTGTATCATTATTCCAATAATGTAACAAAAAATGATGGATAATATACTACACTATCAGTCAATTTTCGTTACATTATAGGTAAGGACCTATAATGCAACAACATTTGACTGATAGTGTAGTACATTCTACTTCACTTTCGGTCAATTTTGTGTTACATTATCGGTTAGTGATACATTATCTGTTGGTTACTACATTATCAGTTGAAACACATGTATTTCCAAATTGCAAAATTTGTTCATGTGAAAACATGAAATCCACAAGGCTATAATACATTACATTTAAATATTAGGGCCCAAAGATTCTTTTTCCTCAAACGAAAAATGGACACGTGATAAAAATACAACTTTCTGTCAATCACATGATAGACTATTCACATTAATATCTTTTATTATATCACCACGCAACAATATACAGATTACTGCACCAAAGAACTATAAACCTTAGATAGTACCCTATGCCCAAAGCTGCAAAACTACAAGAAAATAACTTACCGTAGAACTATCTGAATATAGAATCCTCTAACATAAATAAGACAAAATTTGCCACGAAAAAGAACAACTTACCTACGGAAATAGACAAAAGTCATAATTTTTTTTTTCAGTACTATATCATGCTTAAATTAACTGAAAAATAAATACGTTTTGCTTTTTAGTACTTTAGATTAATGTACACTGAAGAGGTGGTACAATTTGAATACAAAGATCAGAACGTGAATATTATAAAGCATGCCGTACGTATATTAAATGATTTGGCTTTTATTCTTAGACAATATTCTATTTCACAATAATCGGTAATTAACGGAGACAATGGGCAGTGAATATATATACAATACCGTATGATAAGGAAAGCACTAAATTTGAAACGAAAAACTGGAATGTGTGCGGACAAATTTTAAAACCTTGGTCTGAAATTTGGAGTATGAAGATCTGGAAATATTTCAAAGGAAAGTTGGAATTGATTTTGCAAGAAAATACTAGGGGTTAGAAAATACTATGACGATTGCCATAACATAAGGGGTTAGCCTTGCATTATTATTTAAAAAAAAAATTCCACGAATGTAATTTTCATCAAAAATTAAATACGGTAAGGGGTTAGCCTTGCATTTTTATCAAAAATGGCACGAAAGTCAATTTTCATTAAATATTCAATAAGGTAAGGGGTTAGCCTTGCATTTTTATCAAAAATGGCACGAAAGTCAATTTTCATTAAAACTTCAATATGGTAAGGGTTAGCCTTGCTTTTATATCAAAAATGGCACGAAAGTCAATTTTCATTAAAACTTCAATATGGTAAGGGGTTAGCCTTGCATTTTTATCAAAAATGGCACGAAAGTCAATTTTCATCAAAAATTCAACATGGTAAGGGGTTAGCCTTGCTTTTATAGAGGAATTTCTGCGTTGTTTGACGAAGTCAATTTTTGGCCAAAATTTGTTAAAATTGTAAGGCTAACCCCTTGGTTTTTTTTCAATTTTGGCCAAAAAATGAAATTGCTTCAAACTTGCAGGAAAGATGCTAAAGAGCCCCTAGAACGCATTCCCATTAATTTGGATGCTCCTCTTACCTCTAAAAGAATATCTGCATTGTTTAGAGAATATTTTATTTTTTGCCCAATTTCATCAAAAATGTAAGGCTAACCCCTTGTTTTTTTTTCAATTTTGGCCAAAAAATGAAATTGCTTCAAACTTGCAGGAAAGATGCTTAAGAGCCCCTAGAATGCATTCCCATTAATTTGGATGCTCCTCTTACCTCTAAAAGAATATCTGCATTGTTTAGAGAATATTTTATTTTTTGCCCAATTTCATCAAAAATGTAAGGCTAACCCCTTGTTTTTTTTTCAATTTTGGCCAAAAAATGAAATTGCTTCAAACTTGCAGGAAAGATGCTAAAGAGCCCCTAGAACGCATTCCCATTTAATTTGGATGCTCCTCTTACCTCTAAAAGAATATCTGCATTGTTTAGAGAAAAGTTAATTTTTGGCCAAATTTCATCAAAAATGTAAGGCTTACCCCTTGTTTTTTTTTCAATTTTGGCCAAAAAATGAAATTGCTTCAAACTTGCAGGAAAGATGCTAAAGAGCCCCTAGAACGCATTCCCATTTAATTTGGATGCTCCTCTTACCTCTAAAAGAATATCTGCATTGTTTAGAGAAAAGTTAATTTTTGGCCAAATTTCATCAAAAATGTAAGGCTTACCCCTTGTTTTTTTTTCAATTTTGGCCAAAAAATGAAATTGCTTCAAAGTTGCAGGAAAGATGCTTAAGAGCCCCTAGAACGCATTCCCATTTAATTTGGATGCTCCTCTTACCTCTAAAAGAATATCTGCATTGTTTAGAGAAAAGTCAATTTTTTGCCAATTTCATCAAAAATGTAAGGCTTACCCCTCGTTTTTTTTTTTCAATTTTGGCCAAAAAATGAAAATGCTTCAAACTTGCAGGAAAGATGCTTAAGAGCCCCTAGAACGCATTTCCATTTAATTTGGATGCTTCTCTTACCTATAAAAGAATATCTGCATTGTTTAGAGAAAAGTTTATTTTTTGCCCAATTTCATCAAAAATGTAAGGCTAACCCCTTGTTTTTTTTTCAATTTTGGCCAAAAAATGAAATTGCTTCAAACTTGCAGGAAAGATGCTTAAGAGCCCCTAGAATGCATTCCCATTAATTTGGATGCTCCTCTTACCTCTAAAAGAATATCTGCATTGTTTAGAGAATATTTTATTTTTTGCCCAATTTCATCAAAAATGTAAGGCTAACCCCTTGTTTTTTTTTCAATTTTGGCCAAAAAATGAAATTGCTTCAAAGTTGCAGGAAAGATGCTTAAGAGCCCCTAGAACGCATTCCCATTTAATTTGGATGCTCCTCTTACCTCTAAAAGAATATCTGCATTGTTTAGAGAAAAGTTAATTTTTGGCCAAATTTCATCAAAAATGTAAGGCTAACCCCTTGTTTTTTTTTTCAATTTTGGCCAAAAAATGAAATTGCTTCAAACTTGCAGGAAATGTGCTTAAGGGACCCTACAACACATTCCCATTTAAGTTGGATGCTCCTCTTACCTAAAAAAGAATATCTGCATTGTTTAGAGAAAAGTGAATTTTTGGCAAAATTTCATCAAAAATGTAAGGCTAACCCCTTGTTTTTTTTTCAATTTTGGCCAAAAAATGAAATTGCTTCAAAGTTGCAGGAAAGATGCTTAAGAGCCCCTAGAACGCATTTCCATTTAATTTGGATGCTTCTCTTACCTATAAAAGAATATCTGCATTGTTTAGAGAAAAGTTTATTTTTGGCCAAATTTCATCAAAAATGTAAGGCTAACCCCTTGTTTTTTTTTTCAATTTTGGCCAAAAAATGAAATTGCTTCAAACTTGCAGGAAATGTGCTTAAGGGACCCTAGAACACATTCCCATTTAAGTTGGATGCTCCTCTTACCTCTAAAGGAATATCTGCATTGTTTAAAGAAAAGTAAATTTTTGGTCAAATTTCAGCAAAAATGTAAATGTACATGTAAATTTTACATATTTTCCCTACCCCCAAAATGGATGATTCTTGCCTAAATTTGCCAAAATTTCAGTGTTTGACTATTGATTTATGCTCCACTGGTCTCCTGAGGAATTTCTGTGTTGTTTGGCAAAAAGTCAATTTTTTGCCAAATTTTGTTAAAATTGTAAGGCTAACCCCTTGTATTTTTTTCAATTTTGGCCAAAAAATGAAGTTCCTTGAAACTTGCTGGAAAGATGCCTAAGGTAACCCTGAACACATTCCAATTCGATTTGGGAACAGATATGCCTTCGAAAAGAACATTTGGTGGAAAATTTGGGGAAAAAAACAGTCAAAATTCTTGTTCTTTTACATGTTTTCCCTACCCCTAAAACACATGTTTTTTGCCTAAATCTGCCAAAATTTCGGTGTTTGACTATTGATTCATGCTCCACTCATCTGTAGAGGAATTTCTGCATTGTTTGGAGAAAAGTCAATTTTTGGCCAAATTTTGTTAAAATTGCAAGGCTAACCCCTTGTATTTTTTTCAATTTTGGCCAAAAAAATTAAATTCCTTGAAACTTGCAGGAAAGATGCCTCAGGTAACCCTGAACACATTCAGGAATAGTGCAATTTTGTACTGTATCTTACTAGAGGAATGAAAATGATTTTTACTTCAGTTCCAGCATTGATGGAATGATAATAATATAATAATCTTATATAGCGCCGATTCCGTCAAAAATGATGCTGAAGACGCTTTACAATAATTATTAATCAGAGTAATACATTAATAGGGTAAGAATTCTCACATAAACGCATGCATTGCACATGATTTTGTTTCTATAAGTATAACTGTATATTGATAGCACATACACCATGTAATATACCATTGAAAGACTAAAAATACCAAGAAGTTAGAACCTCGGAGGGCCTTTCCAGTACAAAGAATATACTGTGAAAAGAATTGCTACCATCGCAACGAGAAGGCTATTGTAATGTGGCCAAGCATAAATTTCACGTTAACAATATGCATTCCAGCACGTACAGAGAGTACAACAGGGTTCATTGAGCTAAAGATTCACCCACTGCTACTGGACAAAAAAAAACATTTCACCTAGTTCTGGCTTGTCCTTTAATCCCTTCTACAAGTCTTTCGAAAAACAACTTAGAGTCCTCAGGATATAACTTCAGGGAGCGGCTAAACATAAAATGTGACGTGGTGTTTCAAAACCAGACAGAATTGGGCAGAGCTATGCATAGAGAAACGGCTGCAAAAGACATGGGGTGATTGTTAGCAATTTTGAGATTTTTTTTTTTTTCAAATTTGTGATGCTATGCTTTGGAATATCTAATTGCAAAAAAACAAAGCAGCGTTTGAAAGAGCAAGGTCTGTATTTTATTAATATTGCAATTACTCAAAATTGACTTCTTGCCCAAAAGCGCCTGATTTTGACATATCACGTCACAATTATTTTGACAAGAACGTGTAAACAATCATGCTGAAAACTGGCCGAGAACCAGTGACAAGCAGTAGATGTACATGTATTATTTTTGGCTGGTAACCGCTTGCACCTGTACTTCACAGCTCCCCGAAACTGGGCCCAATTGTTAACTGTACTGTGTCTAAGTCTTGACTCAAGATGTTTCTTCACACATCGCCATGTAGGAAGTCACAAGTATCGCAACAAAAATATGAAAACAGCCTGGATCGAGACTACACTGTCCTCAGTGTCAATATTTCACCTAACTCTGTATTGCGCTGCAAATACAGTAGCTTCATTCTCTGCCCATTGCAAAATGTTCATGTGTGTCCAAGAAAACATAATAGAGTGTACGTTAAACTATAAAGAATTTTTATGGAAACGTTGAGGGCAGACATTAAGATGGGGGTACACTACAACATTTCGAATTAAGATATAGATGGCAAAACAATTATTCGGCATGATTATATAGTCCCTAAAAATGCATGTACTGTTTTTTTCTCATTTTATTTTTCAACGAAAGTGAACAAATATAAGCTACCTACATAAACACCTTAAAGACATCGATGGGAATGTAAGACAACTTTTGATGAAAAAAAGTGCATCTACATTTTGAGTCTTCATCGGGTGATGAAATTTTGGAATAATGATCGGCCACCATCTTTGTCATGTTCCTTAGCCAACTGAATGATAAGTAAGCTGCAGGAAACCACTGCAGAAGGTACCAGACTATTTGCCCCATTTGATCCTGAGTGCCAGAAATGATAATGAAATCTCTTCAAAGGTTCACAAATCTAGACTAAATACCCAACTGAAAAATGTAGACGCACTTTTTTTAAAGAGCTTTTATATTAATGGGAAATATTCGCTTCGGCCTTTTATTCCAACGCTAACTTCCCTTCTGAAGCAAAAACGTAATCTCCACGAACACTTCGCCATCCAAGATGTTGCAAAAACTAGCTCCTTTTTTTTTTTGGTTAATTTTTTTTTAATAGGTTTTTAAAGCAGGGAGTTAGGATGACGATCACATGTACTTCAAAAAGGATACATATATTTCATACATGTGTATTACTAGACAAAGAGTGCTAAACTATCTTACTGTCCTGTCATACCTAAACGTGTTAATATACTGTATATATTGCCTTCAATACGTTGGTTTTTGTTTAATATTTAAATACTCATTCTGCTAACCCTGGAAACTTATCAAACTGCGGCTACATTCTCTCCTGAATAGATAACTTCCATTTTTTTGTACTTTTCCCATTTTTTGTGTGGATAGTACGTGAAACGTAAAGAACATGTCGACAATCCATTGCATATTTTGTCATAAATTCCATGATTTCTTTCATTTCATAGCTCATTAACCTCCTAAAGAATACTCTTCTCAGGCCGTGTCCGAATTACTTGGCTTCAACTGGAAATTCGGACACGGCCTCAACAAAAATGCAACCAATACCATCATACAGCGCCCTCTATAGCCAGAATACATCTCAACATTTCCAAAACAAAATTTGCTCCTAATTTTGTTTTCTCTACATCAAATCAAGCATTTTTTTTCTCAATTATAATAAATAAATAGCCAACAAAGTTTTTTTCACTTTTACAATTTTTAAAATCATTTGCTCATGATTTTTTTTTTTTTTTTCAATTAAAAATTTTAAATATTTTTCAATTTTAATCAGGTGCTTCTTCATAGCAACAGCCAACGGTGTAAACTGCATGAATAATGAACTTTCTCCACAGTGTTGTTATTCTCATTAGCAAAACCGAATAACCAGAAAACTTTGAGATGTCTAACAGATTTGTATCTTCACAAGAAGAAACCCGGAAAAATTTGGCTAAACAATTTTTTTTTTGGCAAAATGACTGCAAATAGGAGACCTGTGGAATTCCCAAAATTGACTTCAAATACACGACTTAAAAATCAACCTCCAAATGCATCACCTCTTTTTTTTTTTAGAAAACAATATCTTGTTTCTGAATTGGGTAGCAGAGGCAGACATGAAAATCAGAAATCTTCAGTAAAATCACAAGTTTTGACATTTTCCCAATTTTTGGGATGTCTCAGACTTGTCTAGCATTTTCGTCTGATTTAAAAAGATTTTTTTTTACATCAAAAATGATTTCTGTCAGACCTTCCCAACGTGCAGAGGGGAAAAAAAGGCAAAACATTTCTGGAGTAATTGAACATCTCGGCAACTCCCAATATTCGACGTGTACACGAAGGACAGAACAAATAACTTAATTACATCCTAAATAAATAACACAAATTCCATTAAAAATATGTCCTTCCACATTCTGTGATTAAAAATTTAATTTAGTTTTCATATTACAGTTGTGCACTGATTAGATTTGCCAGACGCACAATTACATCCAACGTTTTGCCTTTTTTTCTCCTTCCCCCTCGCAAAAATAAAACATGATTTGTTGACACAAGGGCCAAGAAGATATCAAATTGCATTTGTTTTTCCGAGACAGGTCTCCTTTTTGTTGACAACCCAAAGGAGAAAAAAATCTTACGGTTTCTCTGCGCACTGCCCCTTTTGATGTCCAATGCAGTGACATTGCTGGCGGCAAGACGGATCTGTACTTACTGTATGCACGGAGCGTGCAGCGAGGATAAATAGCTTAGGGTAAGAGGCTTGCGTTTCCATCAGTTCACGTTGTTGGCTGCGTTGTTTATTTTGTCATTTCTTCGGGTGAAAATCTGAAGTCTGGGTTGATGCATCTATGGAACTGAGAAAGGAACTGGATAAAAACAAAGAGAAAGAGAAAAATATATAATTTTTCGTTTGACTTTGACAGGTATTTTTATAAATATGATAATTGTTATATGATGTAGTACGGCTATAGTCTGAGAATTGGACATTCACGTTTGCAGAGCCACATGATGAATGTCTGATAAATCCTTACAGGCAAATTTTATGCAACCCCACACGACAGCCAATCGGAGTCGACTTTAGAAACTGTGATGTCAATGAACTGTGATGAAAACCCGGTAGAAGGCGCCCGCTGAATGGTCAGAATCTCGAGGTCAAGACGCAGCCTTGTTTTGCATAATTTATCGAATAATCTGCTCGTATATCATTGACCCTTGCTGTGCAAGGGGATAATAGACTACAATGGCTACAGGATAGATATAAATTCACTGCACAAATAGTTTATAATATATATTAACAAAAACAGGTATCACAATTTATGTATAACCATAGAAAAGCTGAATTTAGAATTTTTAAGATCATCCCTTCATAGGTTAAATTCAAACATGCCAATGTTGTTTTATACCAAATTTTCTGTGACATCTAGTCATTTGCTTGGATTTGATCAATCAATGAAAATGACAAAGTATACAGACACAAAGAAACATTCTATGGTCATGAAAATGCCAAATCGTGCTTTACAAATACTGCAAGCCTGAAGCCAGCCGCACACGAGAGCTACGTGCTGAGCAAAAACTCATTCGAGGCCGTTTGCTCAGCACGTAGCTCAGGAAATATCCCAATGTGCGGTGAATTTTTGCTGAGGCCGTGAGGCAAATATCTATCCTGCTCGATTTCTTTTACCTCGCGAGGTGAAAAACTCACCGTGTGCGGTCAACCTGAGCTATGTGCTGAGCTAAAAAGATTAGCCAACGAAATCACGTATTATGTACACGTGATTTTAAGATATTTTTGTGCAAATCTCCTAAAGCCTGCTTTCATTGGCTAGTCAAGCTTTTAAGCTCAGCACATAGCTCAGGTTGACCGCACACAGTGAGTTTTTTGCCTAGTGAGCAACAAAAATCATAACAGGATAGATATTTGCCTCATGGCCTCATGAGGCAGAAAACTCAGCGAAAATTCACCGCACATGGGGATATTTTGTGAGCTACGTGCTGAGCAAACGGCCTCGGATGACCTTTTGCTCAGCACGTAGCTCTCGTGTGCGATGGGCTTTAGAAACACAGAGCTTAAAAACCAAAAACAGTTTACGTGGGTGGATCATTGTTGGGAATAAAAGGGATCTTCTTCTCAAGGGATATAGAGGGTCTGGCTAGCTGCACTGTTCACAACAGTCTAGGTCTCCGAGAAAAGACATTATTGGAGACCTGGGAAAAAGCTTCAAAAAAGAGTCTCCAAAATCTCTCACAACAGAGGGTACTCAAGCCAGAAAGGACGAAAGGACTTTCAGGATCAACTGGCTATTGAGGGGCGACAAAGGAACAGAGAACTTTTATGGCCGGCTCTCGATCTGCCTTCTGAATGGGAAAACGTACAATTATAGCATGATCAGGAAGAGAGATAGAAGATTGGAAGGGTAGCCAAGGCTTTGTACTTTTTCTAAAAGGGGAAATGATGGGTTACGACCGTTCTAGACGCCTAGCTACTACCGTGCCGAAGTCAATTTCATGAGACTTTTCGTTAATTCAGCACGACGATAGCTCAGCGGTTTAAACGATCTGGCTTTGTGAATTGAGTTCGGCATGGCATCATTCTTTGGCTCGACAGGGCTGCCGCGTTATCATCATTCCGAATGGCAGTGGCACAGCACTGTTCTATTAAACATGTGCCATTGCTGTGTCAAAACCACTTCAATTTGAAGTTGGGCCAAACCATTTTTCACAGAAACACAGACTTTTTCGTAGGATCTCGCACCACACAGACCAGCAGTGAATAGTTTCTACCTAGTATACGCAGTCTCATTATCTCAATCGATAGTGATAAATATTGACAAAAACCTATGAGAGGTTATAAAACAGCGATCCACATCGTCGTCGATGATTCAGAGTGTGTCAAACATGCGGCGCGTCATTGCAATCCATTGATTGCGTATGTCCTCGAAAAAAAAAGGACATCAACATGCATCATTAAATTCAATGCTGCCGGCTAGCCTAATTGACTGAAACTAACGCCACATAATCGCAACGGTACACGAAGGTCAATGTGAAAGAGTGGGCAGGAACGAGCCATTAAATATTTATTTATTTATCTATTTATTTTTTGAGGGGGTGGGGACGACATTTGGACAATAGTTGTGTACAAATGATAAAAATGGGTAAATTTAGGGTCCGTATGACATGTTTCCTGTTCCATTGTAATTCGCAGTATCAGTAAGAATGACTTTATGGAATAAAAATATTTGTTGGGTAGGTAGTTTGCTATTCATAATCACTCTTGGAGGATGACTACATTAAGGAGTGCATCAGAATTATAAAATCATACATGTCAAATGTAACAGGGACAGGAAAATTATGTGGACCCCAAATTTCTTGTTATTATTATTTTTTTCTGGGAATGAAACCAAGGATTCCTCAAAAGCGCCCAAGGCACTGTAGCTCGCAAGCGTAAAGAAACCTGTAGAGAGGAGACAATGAGAAGAAATTACAGTTCTCGAGGTGGGAGGAAAACTCAAGAAGAATATTCTGGGGAAAACCCACAGAGTCAGGCAGGGACTGAAAACCCAATCCACATGTTGGCCCAGGCGAGATTCGAACCCGGGTCACGGAGGTGGAAGGCGAGGAAAGTACCACTATGCCAACCTGACCCATATAGAAACTGGTTTTACTGTCAACCAAAAGGAACAAAATGAATTGTTACAGATGGAGGGGGAAGCAAACATAACATGATCACACTACTTTAGAGAAAACAGAGTAAAGAGAAGACAAACATCCAAACCATTCTTACATTTTCACAGATCACAGTGTAGACCGTTTCTGAATAGACGCTAGCTACATGTAGCACAGATATGTAAAAGTAGTAAAGTAAAGTCTGTCCCGAGCCAATGTGGCTCATCAGGCCGGCGTTTATCTCCGGTTTCAGTAGCATGAAACGACTGAGAATATTTCTAATCCCCCTGGATGGGATGCTAGTCCATCGCAGGTTACTCCCCAGCTAATGCCGGTACCCATTTATACTCCTGGGTGGAGAGGGGCAAGTGGGGGTGAAGTGGCTTGCCCAAGGACACAATATATGACCCGGACCCTCTGATCATGAGTCACGAACCCTAACCACTAGGCCACACACTCCCCCTGCACAGATATGTAAACAGACAAGTTTCTGTCAGGATTTTCCCCAACATCATCCTTCATCATGACAAACCTACACACTTGCTGAATTAACAATTTATGGGTTTACATCTACTTGTTCAAGCTCTATCCATCACAGTGAACCCATAATACATCACCCAGCACAAGCAATTGAACGAAGAACGGCCTCTCGATGATCAAAGTACGTGTATGATAACTTCAATCTATGATCAAATTAAGTTTCATCAAACACACATGTAGTTCGCGACCATTTAATTTCCTTCGTAGGGATGTTTGCCGACTAAACCAACTTTGATCTTAATGGATGAGAACGATTACTGGTCTGCGATCGTTGGATGACTCAACCTACGACCAATTTACAATGCGTCGTATTCTCCGTACAGCTTGCAAAAATCTGTATTTAAAGGCGAGGTCATTTCTGCATTTTTATCCGTTTGAAGCAACAAAATGCTCCAAATCTAAAGATGGGTGCTTGACAACTAACCTGATGAAGTTTCAGCTCGGTGAATGCTGTTCATTCTGAGAAAACAATGTTTTAGGATCTCAATTTGAATTCAAATGTTGCAGAGTCATGTTTCAAATAACGCCCAAAGATCAGCGTCCGGGACACATTCTCATTCAGCCGATTGCAGCTACCGGTACGCGATGTCATGCACAGAACCAACGAATAGTAACAACCGCGCGCTCATGCGAGTTGTGTCAACGCTTGCGTGTGCATTGTGTCAACGCTAGCGCGCACACGTTCACAGATTCACCGAATTACAAAATAACTGCTAAAGGAAATTTCTAAAAATGCGTCACTTGACACATCTTTGGAAATTGCCTTCCTTTATTGCTTTCTTCAAAATGACAGCTTGACAGAAAGAATAATTTCGCAGGGAGTTTAGTGCCATTACTATCTTTAAACCAAGTAAGCTTTTCGACAATGATTTTGTCAGTTTTTGGATAGCTGCAAATGATCTACTCTACCTTTAAACCTTCCTCCCACCAAATAAATTATCCCCCACTTCATTGCATTCCCGTCCTATCTGCTCTGAGCAATTCCCAAAATGCGACGACGTCCCAACGGGGGAGGATAAAAGTACTCGAGAGATGACGTTAGCGTTGCCATGCCAACGTGATGCAATTGCAGTGTCTCGATTCTGTTCCAGGGCACACGGAAAACACAACACGTCGAATCTGTTCGTGATTGTGTTCTGTTGACCAGTGCGGTGACTAATCACAGCGTCTGCTTTGCTGGAAATTGTGCCAAAAATAAGAGAAACATAACAACTGACTTTTGCTATTTGCCCAACAGTATTGGTTGGCAAGATGAGGACCAACGCAAAGAAAGAAAGATCTCAGTTTTAGAATGTAATCACATCCAAAAAACGAGAAAAAAAAAACACATTGAAAGGCCATGTGCAATCTTTTACAAAAAAAAGGACGTGAATTGTTTTTTCTAAAATTTAAGCATGGCACAAACCAACAGAAAGTACACTTTATGTTAAAATATTTACTAATAAACAAAACTGCATTCCTGCCTAATTCTAACACAAAAAAGGCCTGAAATACAATAACTGAAATGACTGCAAAATGAAAATGAAATATAAAATATCAAAAAGTCTGGAGATTATACTGTTCATGTTTTAAATGTGTAGTACATGTTTATGTGTACACGTGTACATGTACATGTACATAATGCCAGATGGCTATGTGGCGACATTTACATAATTTATTCGCA